CAGATATTTGGTAAGCTCAATATTGATGGCTTTCTCCATCACTTTGGAGATTACTGATAACAGCGCAATGGGCCTGTTATCAGTAATCTCCAAAGTGATTATAGAGGTAGATAATCATTTCTTGGCATCATTTTGTTATACTGAATTCATCTGAATAAAAATATCTATCTATATATTTCATGTTCTGGAACTGAATTAATTGATAAATAATTTTTGAAAATGAATGTAGACATTGACAAAACATGTTTTTCACTCTAAGAGTACAATGCATTATAATGAATTAATATTTTGTTCAAAGACCTACTTGTGTCTCTCCAAAGAAGTACTAACAGAAGGACCTACCAGTTTACTTATTCTCCCCTCAGTGCTCATGTATAGTGTTTTCTCTCCTCCCCTTACATTACATTGAGGTAGTTGTGGAATAAAAATATGAACTTTAAAAACCTACAGGAAAAATCAGTTACAGTTACAGTTTGATAAAAACATAGAAGCAGCAAAATTACGAACCTATATTTCCAAGATACAATTTGAAATACAAAGGATATGTTCAGCTATCTAAATAATCATCGATATCTCCTTAAACTTGAATTCAATTTCAAGGAAAGACCAGAAACAAGAAACAACTCACTATATATTATGAATCTGGGTTTTGGTTAAACATTTTGTAGCTTTTCCCACTCATTTGCAAGATATCCTGGAATCTGAATGACAACTCTTCTTATATATCTATAATATCTAAATACCTAGATATTTGATCTGTTGGTTGTACAGAATTGTTTGAATCAAGGTAAAATGCTTCTATTCTGCTCATGTCCTGATGTGTACTGTATTTTAACTTAATAGTTTTCGAAGTGAATGCAATCTAAATTGGCTATCATTACTATAGAAATAATACTACAATGATAGGAATCTATAAAATCCTATGCAGCATATCATGAATATTATCTTAATATGATTTAGAGAAGGCGAGCATTTCATATAGAACCATGAAATACTGACCTGCACATTTTTCCAATGTAATCTTTCTTGCCTACCCTTGTGTATTGCAATTCAAAAGTCCATTATCACAATAGGTATTTGAAAGAGAAAGGGACATACTTTTTTTTCCTAGTCCTAGTTTCTGGAGATTTCATCAGAAACTTATTACCATGCGAAATATGAACTGTTGATCATCACAATCATGTTCTTTCAGATGAGCACTACGACAAATAATTAATAATCAGTAATAATATACAGGGTGGCCCACGGTGAATGGCCTATTAGAAGTATCTGGAGAACGAAAAGACAGATTATTCTGAAAATTGGAATGCTTTGATAATTGAACATTCTCTATCCATCTAAAATATTTTCATCGATACAGTGTTGCCACTTCTATCAGATACAACTAGCAACTTCGTTATTTTAAATGGAGCACCCTGTATTTTATTGCATTTTAAGATTCTTCCTGAAGAGCTGATTTCATCAATGTATCACACTTGGGGTGTAGAAGGAATGATTTTTGGGATTTTTTTTGTGTGAAACTATTCATTATCGATCAAAACGGCTAACATGTCCCTATCTTAACTTTCGATTTACTATCTACTGACATTTATTTGGAACAGATACCTACAGGGTGATCAGAATTCAGAATCTTGAAGCACCCTGTATTTTTTCCAATTAAATTCCAGTAGATAGTGAATCAAAAGTAAAGATAGGGAGATGTAAGCCGTTTTGATCGATAATGAATATTTTCGACACAAAAAAATCCTAAAATTGAAAAATCTCGATTTTGAACACCCTATATCTCTGTAATCATTCCTGCTAGACCCCAAGTGTGATACATTGATGCAATCAGCTCTTCAGAAAGAATCTAAAAATGCAATAAAATACAGGGTGTTCTATTTGAAAAAACAAAGTTGCTAGTTGTTTTTGATAAAAGTGGCAACAGTATATGGATGAAAATATTTTAGGCTGATAGAGAATGTTCAATTATCAAAGCATCCCAATTTTCAGAATGCTCTGTCTTTTCGTTCTCCAGATACTTCTAATAGGCCATCCACCGTGGATCACCCTGTATATCTATGAATCACATCTTTACCTTGTGTTCATTAGGTAATTGGAACAATGAAAGTGGAAAAAAGGTAAAGGATATAGGAAGTTTTTTTAACTTTTTGTAGTAGGTATACATATTCATACATCCATCAGTTTTCAAATTCACATTCGATGCTCCACGATTATCCATTTTTCCATCCAACTGAACTGATTTTTCATATTCAGAAAAGACTTCTTGGGTTTACTAGTGCAACCATCAACAGAACACAGTTGATTTCTTGGTTTTTGAGTGATATGTTGATTCATGATTTATAAAATAATGTAAAACTGTGTCGGAAATGAATTTGAAGTTCTTGTTCCTGTACTCAAGAAAATCATGAAAAGGAAATCAAAGTAATTTGTGGAATGAATTACATGAAATATCAAATAAATGAACAGAATAACAAACAATAACAAAAATTACCTTGAATGCCCTGATAAACTGGTTCAAATTTGCCCACCAGATGACGTATCGGAATCATCACCTTGCCAATAATGGAATACACTACAGGGTGTCACATTTGAAAATCAAAAGTTGGGGTCGTTTCCGGTGAAACCGGAAGTGATGGGAGAGTATAAAATATTGCAAAATTTTCCAATTCTCGAATCCCAAGTTGAAATTTGGGCATAAAATCTCAAACTATATGATATCCTTGATTATAGTGAATACTCAAAGATGATATGGATGTTATATTCCTTAAACTGTGTGATAAGGCGTATGACGTTTGATGAGTGACGAACCGGATTTTCTTCAAGTGGTGGCGTACATTTTATTTTCAAAGGATATACCTACTGATGCATATAGGCTTTCAGGAAAAGGAAGCAGATAAGTACCTATTATGATTATGTAGATATACGAATACGATATTTTATGAGAATATAGGTAGCTTTAAAAAAATAAAATTTTTCTTCAGAGAAAATTCAAAGAAACCCCATAACCCCAACCCCAACAACCTAGTTGAATTCAACACCACCAAAACTCATACCTGTATTTTCTCTAGATCTCTAGATAGGCGATACTCAGTATATGCCTGATATAACATGCAATAATGTTTGATATATGGTACCACCCATGATACCACCATTCCCGGCAAGACTACTATATCACTGCTTCACAAAGACTCGGATTCTTGGTCCGTGCGAAAATCTACTTTACACCTACCTCAACAGCTTCTCATGATCTACAAAGCACAGATACGGCCAGTTTCAGAATCTGTTTCTGTGTATCTGGTTCAGCACCCAAACATACGCTGATGCTCTTAGATTCCATCCAGAAAAGAGCCATTCGCCTGGTAAGTGAAGTCACACTCACTAACTCTTTGACCTCATTAGATCACCGTAGAAAAGTCAGCGACCTTTCACTTTTCTTATAGGTACTTGAACGGAAAATGATCCTCAGAAATCTCTGCTATATTGTCATCACTAGCAATACCCAGTCAGACGAACTCGACAGGTCCAGTCAGCACATCCCTTCGTCGTTAATCATGAAATATATGTCGCTCAACACTCTACCAGAACTCGTTCGTCTATAGAACGGCGAAGCTTTGGAATTCTTCTCCAATGGAAGTATTCCCAAGAACTTATAACTTCCAAAAGTTCAAAAAAAAAACCAACACCTATCTCCTCTCCCTATATCCTCCCTAGGTACGCACGATGTTTCACGAACATTATAGGAATCTCCTGTCGTGCGCTCCAAGAGTTGAAAAAAAAAACAACAAAAATATAGTTCTCATAGGAATCTAAAGAAACCTCAAAATGGAATGGTGATTTTGTTCAGGTTAGAAGTTTGTTCAGCATTTCTTTGGTTTTCGATAATCTTTATACAATTTTCCCAACTTCAGTCAATTTTGTTGATAAACGTCTTTAGATTTAGACAAGTCATAGTTTCCAGAAATTTGAAGTTGACAGGATTTTTGGATCTGGAATTCGGAAATTATTCAATATCACTCTTGATTTTAAAGGAACGACCCAAAATTTCGATAATTCTAACTATAGATACCCTGTATTCCTCAACAGTTTTGGATTCTGGTGACCATTCTGAGTATCTATTTATAGGCACATTTCGGTAAACCCAACTTTAATGTTGTTGTGTTTATTGTGTTTACGTCACAAATCGCCAATAATTATTCACCGAATTTTCTGATCCAGGCCTTAGTCTACAAATAATCATCAGCTCTATCAATCTTGAAGGGCTCCTTGTAATGAATCATCAATATTACCAACCTTGGCTGACATTCATTTCAGTGACATCTCTTGGCAGCATTTGTAAGTTCATCACAGATGCCTTTCTATAAATATTGTAAAATCATAGATAGGAACACAAAATCAAAGAGGAGAAGGAACCTACTCACTGACAAAATGGAGGGGTAACTTTATCTCTGAAATGAAGCCATCTTACAAAAGTTTCGTTTCATCATCACGAAATGGGTTCAAAGTAGGTACCTATTTATGGTTGCACACGCAACTGGCTATTCCCATTTGTGTAGATTTCTACATTGACTCTCTTTACTTACAGAGAGTCAATGTACAAGTAAAACTGTTATGATGTTGGTGTTGCACAGGAAACCATCGAAGAGACATTGAGAAAATCCAAGATTGATCAATTTCGAGTTTTATATTCGATTGATAGATGTCGTCATATTGTTGAAACTGACCCAAATTCAGAGTGTTTAGACCAAAGGGTCACTATAACTAACATAGGTAAGTCATAAGTCCTTTTTTTTTTTCATCTCGTCATCTTCGCTGTGTTTTAGTAGTCACAGTTAATCTATGGTAGTCACAATCTGATGAGTCAGGGTCAGGGACATCTCTTGGCGGGCTCTCTAGGTTTGTCATCTCCTTGTGTCAAGCTTGTCAATCTGTCAAAGAATATAGGGGGGGGGGAATGCTGATTAGTTACTGTTTGACTGTTTCTCTATTCTGTTGGTACCACTACTTTCAGATGGCACCAGTGGCAGTGATGGCAGTTATGGCAGATGGCAGCGGCTGACAAACAAAACAACCTATCTGAAAACATCGTAAAAATAGCCAAAAATGTTTCAACCACAGCATTCATTTCCACTAGAACGTTCAGGGGATAATTATTCATCAAATAATTATGCCATGGAGGCATCCTATTGTCTGTGTGGTCAGCCGTATGATTCAAATATTTTTATGATACAGTGCGACGCCTGCAAAGATTGGTTTCATAGCACGTAAGTTCAAACTATTATTTTTCTTCAATGATCTATTTCTATTTTCCACTTCTAGGTGCTGCAATTTTCATGAATACACTGCTGTTGAGATTGACAAATATCATTGCCCAAGATGTGTTCCAACTTTTGGCCCGTCCATTAGTAAGAATTGTGACTTCAAAAACCTTTGAAACTCTGCTGACTAGGTATCTATCACTTTCAGACAAACCCATTTGTAATTGGCACCGTCATGATTTCTGGGACGACAATGCAATTAGCAAGCCTGTCCAAACTGGCACTCCAGTTTTCATCAGAGAATTATGTGCTAGGCATTTTGCTTCAGAAGGAGATGTGGTGTTACATATGAGAGGGCAACAACTCACTGAGAATTTATTGAAAACTAATGGTTTCAATGTCCCAATAGCTATAGACAGTAAAGATGGATTAGACTTAACCTTGCCTCCTGATAATTTCAGTGTTTATGATGTGGAATCCTGTGTTGGTGGTGACAAAGAAATTGATGTCATTGATGTATGCAGACAAAGTAACTGCAAAATGAGACTTAGAGACTTTGTTGGATATTTCAATAGTTTAAATCGCACCAGAGTATTCAATGTGGTCAGTTTGGAATTTTCAGGGACTGGGTAAGTTTTGAATTATCCAGAATGTGGATGAGGATGAACATAAGGATATTATGACTATTTGGAGATTATCTGAACACATTGAGAGATAAATTAAAAGCATTTCACATGGAAATATTTTGACATGTATTTGTAACATTCTGATCAATGTGAAATCTCTCACTCATTATTTGTTACAGTTTGGCACCATTAGTTGAAGCTCCTTATGTAGCTAGGAATCTGGACTGGGTAAATTATGTTTGGCCACCTGATTACCCTGGTAGGCCTCAAGTCCAAAAATACTGTTTGATGAGTGTCAAGGATTCCTATACAGATTTCCATGTAGATTTTGGTGGTACCAGTGTATGGTATCATGTTTTAAGAGGTGAAAAGATTTTTTATTTCATCAAACCAACTCCTGCCAATTTAACACTTTACTCCCAATGGATGACTTCAACTAATCAGAGTGAGACATTCTTTGGAGATCAGGTAAGAACTCTCTTTACTAAACCATGATAAGTACTTATTTATTCAATGGTTGTTTTCTACAGAAATTCCTTATAATTTCAGTATTTTGACATCCAAAAATAGGGGCTGTCAGTGTAAGAAATTGAATATTCAGGCTAAGATAAAAACAATAATATGTATATACATTAGTAAGTTCGAAGATCAATTGAAAATCTTGAAAATGATCATTGGTAGAAGGGTAAAAGTATATTGTTGTTCCCTTGCAGTGAGTAAATTAGCAATTCTGATGCTAATAAATTGCAATGACAACCTATACCCAATGTCATGGATATTCAAGTACAAATTTTCAACTATTAGATGACATAATTATTGCTAGGGTATACCAAGGGGCCCCTTCCCCCCTCAAAATGGATGTATAACTTACTAATGATGGTGACTACATACCTACTTGAATAATTTTTCCAAGTTGAATCTGTTCAAATAATAAATTATATACAGGGTGTCCGGGAAGGTCATGTTGCAAATGATAGGGTTGGAATAAATTGGAATCATGATTATGACAACATCCAAAACAGCACAAGTTTGGAAACTTTAGAAAAACATAGGTTCAACACAGACTTGGGCTATTTATGTAAATTGTTGAATGTTATCAATGACTGCCTGAACTTGTATCCAAAATTCAGCTAAATAGGAATAGTAGGACTAGAAAAAAAAAACACTATTTTACATTATTCATCATTCTACAAATTATGGCATGCATAGCTCCCCACTCAAGGATACCAAGGGAATACAATAATATTTGTACACATGTTGGTTGACATTTGCAGTAATTCATTTCAGTCTTTCAAGAAGTCATTAATTATCATTAATAATACCTCTTTATAAGCAGCTGTGTTAGAATACTGTGATATAGATTCATAATGATCTAGGATATACAGGCACATTAAACGTGCCTTGGATAATTAGTTGTGTTCTATGGACCTAAAATATTCTCAGCATTGCGACGTTGCCGCTTATATTGAGGAGTAGCAACAACTTTGATTTTTTAAATGGGGCACCCTGTATATCATTTCATTTTCAGATTCTTCCTGAAGAGCTGATTTCATTGCCCTGTGATGTGAAAAATCGAGATCTTTCAACTTTAGGAATTTTTTATGTTGAAACTATTCATAATTTGTCAAAACGGTTTGACCACCCTGTATCTATTTCAATTAAATATCAATTGATAGTACGTTTTTCGGAAACCACAGTAGTTTTTGTCAAAAACTCGAAAATGTCAGGAGGTATATGGTTGCTATTTATGAAATCCCCGAATAAAATGAGCATCGTGGTCTTCCGACAAAATGGAGGAGCGGAGAATTTTTTTTCAAAATGCACGAAACTTTGTTTCACCCTGTATCACGGGTCCTGATCAATTCAGAAGAAGCTGTAAGGAACGGTTCGAAAGACGATGAAAAAGGCATTCAGAATCTGGGCGGCAATTCAAAATTCGTTCAATATCTTAGAAATTACAAGAAGTCAAACTTGAAGCCAAATTTCACTATTAACGTTTCAATTGACGCCCAGTTTATTTATATTTTTTCTTCATCTTGTAATAATATAGGTGATAATGTATGCAATGGAAAACCATTAATAAAGTTCTATTCTATATAAAACAAAATTTCTAAGGCACTTCCTTATGGAGGTATTGATCTTGAAATTTTAAAATGATTGGGATGTATGTTTTTAAAATGCGATTTTCTCTAGAATGGTACAAGGTATTGATTAAAACAAGGTATACTATTTGGGTAGGTTGCGTTCGGCCCAATTTTCGATTCACCTAATTTTTGATTCACCCAATTTTCGATTCGCCCACCATCTCCGAATGTACCCGACGATGCGTTGTTCCTAAATCTGAATGAAGAATCATTCTGGGCTTATCATTATTGAATATTTAAATTTTTTGATACACATAATATGTATGTATGGTACATATTTCGATTTACCCAATTTTCGATTCACCCAATTTTCGATTCGCCCAATTTTCGATTCACCCAATTTTCGATTCGCCCAATTTTCGATTCACCCAATTTTCGATTCGCCCAATTTTCGATTCACCCAATTTTCGATTCGCCCAATTTTCGATTCACCCAATTTTCGATTCGCCAGAAATCGATTCACCCGAATTTCGATTGACCCACTTTTCGATCGACCCGAATTTTGACGTAATATAAGGACGGAAAATATTCTTTTCTGCATAAGGAAGGAGACTACCTTTTCCCATCTACCTAACCTACCTAACTCGGCCGAATCGAAAATTAGGTGAATCGAAAATTGGAGGGAATCAAAAATTATAGGAATCGAAAATTGGGTGAAACGAAATGCTGGCCCAACGACATATTTGAATGTGAAATGATTGTTGATAATTCCTGTTTCATTGAATCCGAGGAAATTTGACAACAACACATCTTTCGGGTATGTTGGGCGAATCGAAAATTGGGTCAAACGAGACGTTCCCTACTATTTTTGTAGAGAAAAGATGAAGGAATCAAATGGTGGAAGCAAAATGTCAAATTTGCCACCTCTGTAAAAAATGACTTCATCAAACGGAAAAACTTCGTCCCATCCTGTCTAAAACATCATTGCTGGACAGTCCGAAAGGAGAATTAGTATGAGTTGATTTAGTTACGGGCACGGTATCCGGGTTGTCTAAAAAAATATCTGGCGTGGCTGTGCATTTTTCATTAAATGCGTGATTCTTGGTTGTAGTCCTGGCAGCACCTTGGCGCCTCAGAAGTGGTTCGGAATCCACTATAAGCGGTAGGTCCCGCTCTTCCTAACCCCGCACAAATTTCGACTTCTGTAGAGTTGGTTCCCAACTCCAAGTAGTGATATACAAATTTTTCAAGTTACCTAAATATCATTGATACAATGGCGACCGTGTAAGAGTTATACATGACTGTCAAGGTCAATAACTCCGCAATGAAGGTCGATATACATTTTTTTATGTGAAGTAATAACATTACTTTGGCTTACTCTATCATTTAGGACATGACCTTTCCGGACACCCTGTATATAACAGGGTGAGTCATAACTATTGGGACATAGACTAAGGGCGAATTGTTTGGACCAAAAAAATGGCGATAGGATCAAATATGCCTTGATGAGATATTGCTGTGGAAAAATATACAGGACGTTTCAAAAATTATCTGACAATACAAAGCACACTCTTCATTAATTAAATTATAATTGGAATCTCCTCCCCATATTCTGAACTGTTCAGCTGCATTTTTTTCAAAAACGAATGAAAAAATATCGTGTTTAAACAGGAGTACCAGTATTACATGAAAATTATTTTTATGTCATATTTTCTGATCAAAATCACTAAAAAAATTTGTCAAAAAGTAATTACCAGTCGATTTCATCATCAGGAATCGGTCACGTGGCTCCTCCTGTAATAAACTGTAGAATAATACATGAAATAATATTCCCTGTTTGAAATTATGCCTCTGCGCCAATTTTAATAACAATCTATACATATACAGAACAATTATCAAAACACGATAACAAGAATTCAACTTCAACGCCCTGTATCTTTTTCCACAGGAATATTTTATCAAGGCATATTTGGTCCAATTGCCATATTTTGGTCCGAACAATCTGCCCTTAGCCTATTTCCCAATAGTTATGGCTCACCCTGTATAATGTACCTTATTGATGTGTATGGAATCACCAGCTGGCTATTGACCTTACAAAAGGTTCCTCAGCCATTGAGTGTTCTGTGTAGGCATTATTACTGACTCCATACGCCGCCTTAGGAGCAGCACTATTAATTGGAAAGCAACAGTGAATCATGCGGAACCATCTCCAGTTGAAACTTCGAATTCGTTACTTCCATTATGAGTTGAAAAGTCTTTGCTCTACTGGGAATTCTCATCTGATGACACTTAGCTCACCAGACCGATCGTTTACCGCTAGCGCTAGTCCAACCTTTTCAAATAATATATCAACAAAATATCCTTAGAGTTCGAGAAATCTGCGCAGAGAAAGTTATCAAAACCATTTTGTTGGTTGAATGGAATATACTTTCCACTGACAAGGGATTCCAACTATATTGAAATCACATATCAGATGAGATAATCTTTGCACCTGTTTTGTGTTGATGTTATAGATGCTAACTTCCCTTATAACAGTTGAGCAGAACAGGTCATTTCAACAGTGATAAGAGTGGGGCTAACCACATACTAAAAGGGTGTATGAAAAAAATCCTTTTTTCCTTGTATTTCCCAGAAATCTTCTGAAATTCTTTTAAATATCCTCGAAATGGAAGGAATTTTCCTGTGTTATTAAAATATATATGTTTCAAGCTGAAGTTCATGATCACATTCGAATTTTCTTGCTGGAGGGTATAAAATGAAATTCGTTGAAGATTCTTTGGCACCTATACATCGACAGAAAACTTTTTTTTTCGGTAGAATATCAGAAACGATAGAAATATTTCAGAGCACTTCTCGGGGTACCTATACAGTGGTGTGGGTGTACCCTATATAATGTATTTTTTTATTGTCATAAGTTGAAAAGAATTTGTGAACTCTGCAAATTCTTCAAAATTCAGAAATCAAAATCATGTCGGTACAATTTTTATAGAGAATCGAAATCTTAAGATCAAACGCGACCTACCTAAAATTATTGGTCGAACAGCTCTCTACCGAAATTCTTTCGATCATAAACCGAAAAATTCTTGGAAAATGCCGAAAGTTTTTGTTGTTGTTTTCCACAAAGTGTAAGTATGAGAAATTCTCCCAAATTCCTTGAAAATCCTTAATTTCTCCTTCAATGTTCAAAAAGTATTCGAGATATTTCCCCGTGGTGACCTCCTTTGGGGTGAATTGTACGCTCGAAATTTTCCGAATTTGCTGAGACTTTATGTCCTTTATCAGTGTGTCTAAAATAATCTTCAAAATCGCATGAGATTCAGTTCTCAAAGAATCTTGATAATAATCATATTATCGGCGAATATTGTACTTAGGTCTAATAAGTCTATTTTTAGTCCAGGAATGTTGAATTTGGACAAACTGTATTTTAGGTAGATCAGTGCATCAAATGTGTCATAAGACAAGGTCAAACCATGCTCATACCTACAGGTTGGATTCATGCTGTGTATACCCCTGTTGATTCTCTAGTATTTGGAGGAAATTTCTTACACAGCCTCAATATTGGTATGCAGTTAAGGTTAGTGAATTGCAATATCTTCTTCAAATAATCACTAAATATAATAGGTATGTTTTTTTTTTTCAAAACAACCTCAAGTCATGATTATTGTTCACGACTTGGAATGATAACTGACATGTTTTTAGTGTATATGAAATCGAGAAGAAATCTAAAACTGTTGAGAAATTTCTGTACCCGAATTTCGAGATGATAAACTGGTTTGCGGGAAATTATCTTCTGAGGCAACTTATTGAAATGAATCTACAAGAGAGCAGATGTCCTGACATATTTTTGACTGGAATGAAAGCTCTACTTCAAGCTTTGAAACACTGGAATACTGAAAAAGATGTAAATATTGGTTTTCACAGTATTGGTGAGGTTAACTGAACTTAACTTTCGTAATTGGGTGATTGGTTAATTCATGTTTATTTGGCATCGGTTTATTTTGATCATTGTAGTGTTACTGAAATATTATTCATGAACGTTTTTAGTAGTCTTATTATAAATAACTGAAATTTCTTGGATTTATTCTGAATTCTCTTGGAATTCATAGAATTTTTTATTAAATTGAACATTAGTGAACATTTTATGATTCCTGGAAATGCCTTAAAATTTTCAGGCATTCTATGTAATTTTCTTGAATTATTTGTAATTCCTTTATAATTTAAATTCTGGTCGGTAAACTTGAGCAAAGTAATTTTGTGGTGTATGAATTGCTTGGACTGCGTCAAATTTTGCTTTATTTTTTGTTTATTGCTTTCTAGCTTTCTTGAAAGCAAAACTGTCACTCAAAATAGAAAGTCATCGCTATTTTTATTGTTCTGCTTGCAGTCTCAACTTGACCATCTTGATAACTGCATGATGAGTGCTTATTTATTTTCAGTACAATGTGTTGGTTAGAGAACAAATTCCTTTCACGATAAATGTAGCGAAACTTCTGAAAGATATTGGAAGAGAAATTCGACATGCAGAGAGGTACATAAACCAACTCAATCCACCAAAGCCTGAACGTGAATCAAAGAGGAAAAGAAAAAAACCAATTAATAAAGATTTCGTGGATTACTCTTTGTTATCAAAAGGTGCAAACCCCGATGTAAGTCAAATTGGTGTATGTGATATGCTTTATGATTTGAAGTAATACAAATCATTCTCTGATAAACCTGAGATCAAATCGTTTCAATAAACAAATAGTGTCAAAATGTTTTCATCAAAACATCTAGCAATTCCAGTACGCCCGCAAAACATAGATTTCGCTTTGCAGATTTTGCATCTCGTACCAAATAATAGTTCATGCTATTCCTAATATCCAACCGTTCCAGAATCGGATTAGTACTTTCCGAAATATTTGATTTTGAAACATGGTGAAACATTCAGGGGGACCACATCATTTGTCCATCTGTTTATTTTTTTCCACAACTTCCAGGAATTCTCCTTATGTGATGGTTTTCCAACCTGAAATCTCACTTCTTTCTGATTAGTTGATGCTATCATTGAAAGTCGCTTAGACCTCTCAGATAAATGATATTTCAATTGATAATAATCAAATGGGATCGTACAGTCGCATTCAAAAAAAGCGTACAAGACAAGTATATTACAGAGAGGAATTAACGTCAACCTATCTTCGTAAAACGGGCTATTGGGAATGATGTTTACCGAATGTTGACAGTAAAGTTGTCATAGGTTCTCAAAAACACGAAGCATTTGCTGAGCCAGTTTTACACAACTAGAACTAGGATCCCGAAATCCTCGGTTTTTAATTCTTGTACGCTTTTTTATTAAATACGACTGTACATACTACTCGAATGTGTATGCCATATGCCCAGCTTATATTGATCTCTCCTTGTATAAATAGTGCTTGATGCAATAATTCGTTATTTGAAGTAATCACAAATAGTTTTATCAAAGATTAAAATCGGCACCATTCAATAACGGTAGCTCTTGATGACGTGATGCGCCGATAATAAGAACCATTAGTGACATATCTCTGAACAACAGGGTTGGAATAAGTCATGAGTTTTATAAAAAAGTCAAAAAAACTCTGACTTTTTGAATTAATTCGGACTTTTTTGAATTAATTCATTTGAGAACAAATCAAATTCTATTCACTTTAACAAAATACAAGAACATCGCAAGAACTAAGTTTTTATTTCCGTTGAAAATCTCGAAGCATGACAATAAACACTTGAAATATGGCATTTTTGATGTTTATGCAACTTGGATTACTCATTCACAATCTTCATTATAGAGGTGCTTTACAGTTATTTTCCATAAAAATGCAGCAATATCCATGGCGCGCCTACGGATTGGTGTCACCTTGGAAAGCAATTTTTCGATGCAATGCAAGAAATGAGTCCGGACATATTTATTTATATTGTGGTAATTTGTATTACTGGTGCAATTCTAGTGGTGACATGTTAGATTTTCGGAATTTCACGCATCATTAAATACACATATTGGATCTTACTTTTCTTGCCTTTCTCATGGTTTCTTCTACCCAACTCTTGACCCAACTCAAAACTCGGTGAGAAGTAATACACAGAATCTATGACAAAAAGACATTGCAAGCCAGTAATTCCGATTCACTGTTGAAAAGCCTACATATTATTTTTGCCGGAAATATGAATTGGAGCAATCAATTGCATGCAATGAAATATTGTAAACTGTATAGCGGCTCTTAGAAAATTTTGTTTTCCGCGTGTGGTGCTTCACGGTTGTCAGTTGTCAGATGCCATGGAATATTTCATTTTAAACGTGTTTAAATTGAAGGTAATAATGCGATTTGTTCCCATTTGATGAATTTTGAATTAATTCACGACTTATTTGAGAAAAGTCATTTGAATTAATTCACGATTTAAATCACTGACTTAATTCATATGAATTAATTCGTGCCAGCCCTGAACCAATGAGAGTTTAACCACATTGCAAGAACTTACTTCCACCGTAGGTGTGTACTGAAATACACACAATACATAAACCATATCGTATATTATTCTTTGAGGAGAAGACATTTTCTTTACTCACTGAAGCAGGCACATTCAGAGCATTTCAGAGAGGATAGACGATGTCAATTGGCTTAATTATCTTCTATAGTATGAGCGAAAATGTATTATTGCAATATTTAGCAAAAATTGATGGAATAGAATATATTACGTCCATGGTATACAAGTTATGGACACGTCCAGTGCCGGATTTAGGGGGGGGGGGGGGCTATGGGACTATCAGCCCCCGGCGGTGAATTTTAAGAGGTGGTACTCGTCGCCGACGAGGCGACAATTGAAGACATGAGAATGATAAGTGGATAACAACCACTTTTGGTGAAATACACTTTTTGTCCGATTTTCTTTTTCTATCGTTAGGTATGAAAAGGAGGAGATTGCAGAAAGAGTTATCTGGTTTTAAATCTGGACTGACCGTTGCAATGCCGTTGCCATGAGAAGCGGATAACAACCACACTTATCCAGTTATCATACTCAACGGGTTCAGTGTTTTGTGCATCCGAAAGATTTCATGAGATAATTCATTGTTTTCCTGAACGTGGACATTCATGTTTGCCTTGTGATCGTTCTTTCGGTCAAATTGGAATTTTCAAAAGAAAAAGATAATACCTTTTCATTCCAGAAGATTGGTGTTCACTTGTTGCAAATGCCTCAAGAAATTTCAGGCAGTTAATGTAACTCAAGCAATGGTCAAAATTTATAGAGAAACAATAGATGAATATTTCAAGAAGACTTTCCGAAATAATGATGGAACATTTAGAATTTCAAAATATAAAAGATTCAAGTATATTGGGGTATAAGATAACAGTTTCAGAAAATTTATACCAACTCAAACATTTGTTGCATTAAAGAATGGCGTTGATTTAAAAACAGAATAACATCGACTTGAGAAAGTATATCCCATCAGCATACCGGGATTGGTATGACAATATACCCGCTAATGATGAAGTTCCAGTAGACATATCAGAGGTGTCAGATTCTGGTGATTCAGAGGTGGAATAAGGAGTTGTTATTTTTTTTAAGTTCCAATTAACCCAGTTGTCTTTTCATGTAATGTTCTGCTGATAAACTGAGTTTTCGTATTCAGAATTTATTATTTTCCCCTTTTCAGCAAAATGAGAATGAGAAGTGGATAAGTGTAAAACAGTTTTTTCAAAATGTTGATATTATTTTCGACTTCTTTTCAATTTCTGCTCCTCCAACTCATCTGAAAAAATTTGTTGATCAATATACCATATGGCAAACGAATACGAAAAACGGAATTTTCTGATTTCCACATTCTTGATTCTTGATTTTCTCGGAAATTTTCTTTTGGCGCTTATCCACTTATCATTCTCATGTCTTCAATTATATTATATTCAAACGAAGGAAGCAAGGAATGCTTGAAGTCATTCCCACAAATTTTTATGGTGTTGTTACATAATCATGCTTGTTGCCTTATATATGCCGCCTCTAAACTCGTCGCCTTTTGAAGTAAACGCGCAATCAGCGACCGCCGGCAGTCGGCACCGCACCAAAAGGACTAGATTGAGATCTGCGATCATACAGGGAGTTTGTTGTTCGAAGGTTGGGATACTGTTTTTGTGAAAATCATAACATTTACTAATCAAGCGTCAGCTATGTGCCTTGGACGCTATCATACAAAATCAGCTGCGGTACATACTCTTATTTGATGAAAATGAAAAAAAACATATTCTACTCAGTAGGGGCAATTTCGTGATTCGTCCAACTCAATAACAAATAACAATTCAGTAGTCAATAGGTTGTCGTTGGTAATAGTGAATATTGAAACTGGAATTCAAACAAATGAATTAAAAAGAAAGTGGTGCATTCTGGAAACGGGAGAAGATGAATAAACAAATGAAGTTGGATGAAGTGCTCAAGAAAGGCACTAAAATACATTCATTTCTTCTCAGTTCAAATGAGATAGAATTAGAACCGACAGAACCGTATCCGGAACTTCACGTTCTGATGGAGGGAAACTTTTACAGTTTTATATTTTTTTTGCATTGAGTGAACAGGTACTTTGAATTTTGGATTATTTGGCGGCGGCGCGGCGGCATCGTAATAGTTAGCCCCCGGCGTAAGTGAGTATGAATCCGGCACTGGACACGTCGTACAAAAAAACAGAAAAGTTACATACAAAAATAGTACATGTGAGGAAATCGATTAAAATAAAAATGAAATAGCACCAGTTGCCTACAAGTGTCATTTACACACACAAAAACCTTTTTCAACGGTCCAACTGCAGATATCTGATATCTGTGGCAAGAGTTGAAAAGAAATATACCTATGGATTTGCTTTTCCCTAATCTCCTTCTATGAAGTACAATGTTATGCCCATATCTGATGTTATAAACATGAATGTCTGAGTGTGTAGTGAATGTACATCAATTTTTTCAACATGTATGAGATTTTCATAGACATTTTGTGAGAATAAGGTCATAATACAAAAATTTTATTGATTGTCATCTAGTGGAGTGGATTTTGTGATAATTTGATAATAGACATTACTCTGTTTTTGTTTTATTCAAAAATAATTCATTATAATCGAACCATTGTTTTGCATGTGCAGTAAAGTCTGCTGAAATATCGTCAATATTTGTGCTCATGGGATTCAGGTGAAGAGAAAAGGACCTATCATCTGCATACAATATTTTCAGTAATTCATGTTTCAATAGCATATACCTTAAGTTGAAAACATATGAATAGTAGTGTATTATCTAATAGTGGAATCAATGTAAGAAATAGTACAGTCTAATGTTTTTGAATCAACATATTGAATAAGGGTGGAGAAAAAATGAAACTGGGTGTGAATCCACATTTGAAAAATTATCGGCTATAAATGCTAAAAATCATTTTCAGCGTCTAATCTACCTCACTTTTCTGTTTATAGTTCATGCCGATACACGATGTTTCACCTGTCTCCAAATATCCAAGGCAGGTGCCGCTCAAACTTACTCTTCCCAAGCCTGCTATGTATCCTTATGACAATATGAACGCTTCTTCTGAGCATAGCTCAGGAGTAGGAAATATCGTTGGCATAGAGCAGCCACAGTGGCTTCAGTCGGCCTACGATAGTAGGCCACAGGAAACTATCGCCATACATCGAGGTGGAACTGTTCTGAAATTCAAACTAGGGTGAGTACATTAGTGATGAAGTGTGAATTAAAAGTAGGGATAACCTGTGTCTGCACTCTCATAATTCTCAGAAATACAGTAGACTATGTACAAACATTTGTATGAGGTTTTGAGTTTTTGTCATTTACCAAGGGTTCTGAGGGGTGTATAAGATCCCGCAATCATAATTTATTTACTACCAAGATTGTTTTCACCACAAGCATTATTTTCCAATCCTTCGGGTCAACAAAATGATGAATGGTGCGTTCTGAAGCTACTAGTGAAAAAAAAACATGGTACCGAAGACAATTCACGCCTTCTATAGCTCTAGCTACTTATTGAGACAGCTTGGTTGAAGCAAATGTCTTCTGTAACTTGGTACATAATCACTATTATAACACTCTAGAACATTAGAAATTCTAAACTTCTAGATTGAGTTCCTTGCAAACTGAAATGACTCACTTCTTCTCATTTTTTTTTCAACTAACCTGATTCAATCAGTGATGCTTTTTCATTAGTTGAACCGCTGAGGTTTTAGCATAATTTTTTCAAGGTCTAAAGACATGTTGCCACCTCCAATTCATTCAGATCCTCCTCACCCGCAGAGCGAGTTTGTGTTTTCCGATGATATGATGGGTAATTCACAAGATATCTATGATTTTCATGATGATAGTGATAGAGATGAAGACTGCTTTAATTTTACTATAGACGAACCACCACAAAAGAAACAAAAGAAGCCTGGTATTAAAATACGTTTACCTGGTAAGTACAACCAATTTCATTAGCATAAGAAAATCACAATGTTTTACTGATGAGTCAAATTTCACCTACCTATCTGACGTTGAATTCATTATATTTTCTTCATATTTAGTTCTTAGACTTTTTATTTCCTATATAGAATTACATCACCTGAGTTTTATTTAGATATGAAAAAAATAAGGCATTTTATCTTTGCATTTCAAATATTCAGAAGGTATTTTTCTCGTATTGTGGAATAGTTTTGATCATTGCATAATATCTAATATTCTTATGCTCCTTGCATTTCAAAGCTCATTACAATGTCAATAACAAATCATTACTGGACCCATTTTTGGCGTGCACATTTCATATCTATTTCGAAATTTCGTAATTGTAACATTGCTAAATCAACTATCCTTCTCTACTCTTTCCTTTTTTTACAGTTAAAAAACAAAATAGAATTGATGAAATAGAAGGATCCAATGGAATTGAAACTCTAATACAGGCTTCTGCATTATCTGTGCCGTAAGTATAATAATCAGCATGCCCCAAAAGGTAAACGAAGATTTAACTTTTATCGTGATATTTTAAGGCCTATTGATGGTGGCACTTCACCTTCAACGCAAGAGGCAATTGCGGGAATGCTCTCTATTAGCCAAAATTGGCCGCCGACTAAATCACCAAAAAAAAGATATACCCATAGTCCGATCGAGGATGAAGTGAATAATGTGCATCAAGATGAAGATTATGGTGAGTAATATCAATAATTTTCTCATACTCCTGAAGAAAAAAGTGGGTTGTTTGCTGATTTTGAAAATAAAATCGACATTTGTGTATAATGGTGAAAGTTAATGTCGAATTCAAATTGAATTAGTAAGAAGGTACAATGGATAAAAATCATCATTCTTTGTATTCACCATATATGGATTAATTTTTCATTGTTTGAATATTGAATTATATATATATATATCTCCATTTATGTCATTTTGCCGATATATCTTAGCAGAAACTACCTCCACAAAGACGGAAAATGATAAATGAAAAGTGCCGACGGAAAAATTTTCCACAATTTCATTGAGGTTAGGATTGAAAATTATTTTTTGACCGTTTTGGTATTGGTGAAAGTGATCATTGATTGCATATTATGATGAGTATATTTCATTTGATTCACTCCTTTATAATTCAGATATGTCACTCATGTGTAAATCATGACAATTACCTATAGGGTTATGATAAGAGATCTTGAGAACCAGAATAATTTTCAAACAAAAAATTGTAAATGAAGATATAGGTTATAATTCATTTTGCAAATATATAGATCCTTGTCACTCAGAATGTGTAGTTGGATAATATAGTGTAAGTAGTATATTATAAGAAAACAACTACTTTCCTGGCTACATACCACGACGAACATTGAATTACATTTATTGAACACAAATAATAAGGATTTTAAAATGAAATCTGAAGTTGAGAATTTGCATCCTCTTTTAGATAAAAATATATAGGTATATATCCTTCGGAATATTCAACAGAAAACATCTACTTTCCTGGTCACTCTTTCAAATCGTATAAATAATATGATATATCGAAGACTGGAACCTTCAGCACGATAATACACTACACTGTTTTACCACTAACCAAACCGATTTTTTATACGCCTCGAGACGTGTTTCGCTAACTGTGTCAGCATCTTCAGGAGAAGATTAAAACTAAATATTCTAATCCAGTGTGCTACTTATATACTAGGTATATGTCCACCCAACCGTGAAAGACACTAACCGTCAAGTTGATGTTTGTCATGGTTGAATTCACTTGGTCAACTTGATCTTATAATCACTAAACTATACAGAGGACTATATGGAATAGGTCCATTATGTTTATTCATCACTTAGTATAGTAATAGAGCCAGCCGGAAAATCCTCAATAACAACAAAAACGACAAGTGACATTTCTCACTTCTATCGTTCGCCTACTACGAAACTTCTCGATGCTGTCATGTTCATATTCAAATATTCAATTTTTTCATGTTGTTATGCACCTTGCAATAACTAATAAGTAAATAATTATAAGAACTGAATTTCTGAAAATTATGTTGTCATAATATTTTGAAGGTTGTTCTATTTTTTATCTTGAGCTATTTATGCCGAGTTGAATAAGATGTTTTTTGGAGGGGGAAACAACTACCCAAAATGTGTACATCATATTTAAATATCTGGCAATTAAAAAGTACTTAATATACTTGAAACTGGTACTTAAGGTACTGTTAACAGGTACTTAAATACTGAAGTACTTAAAACGAGACTTAGAAGCTTATTAAATATGTACTTAATGTATTAAAAATGATACATAAAGTACTTAAAATTCGATGGTGTACACCTATTTAAAGAGTTCTTTCCCCCTCGGATGTTTTATTCAAAAATATCCTCTTGAATCATCGATTTGTCAGCGTTTCCACCACATAAGACCTCAGAATGTGATGCCTCTTCCGCAGAAGAAATAAGCAAAATAAATAATTCCCTTCAACTTATCACTCTGAAAGTCCACCCCTCACTGAACAGATCTCGTTTGGGCCCCCTTTTGCCAAATATTCCGTTGTTGTCAGTCTATCCGTCTCTAGACAACTCCGACGACGAGGACGTGCACATTTTCAAGCCGCGCGGCCGCTCCAAGGTGGACGAGCCGTGGAACCCGAAGGCCCGCGTCGGGCCGCTGCTGCCGAAGATGAACCGGCCCGCCCGCGAGGGGACGAAGAAGCAGGCGGTGGAGAAGGTGCTGGAGGCGGCGGCCGCCAGGAGGGTGCACGAGGCGCCCGAGAAGAGCGGCAAGGTGAGTGTACGGCAATGGGCCTGTTTCACAGAACTCATAGACCTAGAAGGCTAATGCAAGTGTGAGAAATCGCTGAAATCTGATACAACCAGTGTGCTTACGGCAACGGTGATCATGCGCACATTGTCAGCAACATTGACAGTTATATATTTTCATACGCAAATCTCATATTCATGCATTAGGGTGTAGTTCATATTTCCTACAAAATTTCTTGTAACTGATTATCAACAGCATTACAAAAACCATACTATGAACTTTTCACGACAAAATTAGTAGACTCACTGATATTAATTGAATGGCTAACAAGAGATCGATGAATTATTATAAACTTCAAATTTCTTACGAGTTCATCTGGCAACTGTGTGAGAATGTGCCTCTGTCATTTTGTCTGACGTAGACTCAAGACAGAGCCGGATTAGTTTCAGTTTTTCAGTGTTCTGCTTTGCGTTCAACGTCTTTTGTTAGTGAATTTGAGATTATTGAAGAGTTTTGGTATTTTATTCTAGTTTGGGTAATTGTGTAGTCATATTGACAAGAACAGTACTTATTTGATTGGACATTCATTGACTGATTTGTGTACAGTGTTTTCAAAATGAATGATTTGGTGACAAGATACAGAACAAAGTCCAGGAATGTCTTAGTTCAGGTAATTTTATATAGTCAACAAAATCTGTGCTATTATATATTTTTTTCTATAGCTAAAACACACAATGGCTCTTGTTTTACTTTGTTCCATAAATCATTAGGTACTTTGTATGCCATCAATGTTATTTCCGTATCTGATATCACAATGACATTCGTTGTGTTATTATTTAACAAAATCCCATCTCCTATGAAAATGTCAAATTTCAAGCCATGGCAGCTCTGTCTAATAGAAGAGCATTACTTAAGAGGCAATGCTAATTTCCCACTCGTATGATTTATAGGCAAGAACTTACAGATCTCTGCGTTGGTTCGAGATTGACGATGCCTCTATTGAGAAGTTGGGTCCTGTTTTTATCAAAACAACTGAACTATCCAATTTTAGCGAAGTCTCGTTTTTTTTATTCAATTAAGGGAATTTGTAAAAATATCTCAATTGTGAAAAATTTTCAGTGGTTTAATAAATAGTTCGTCAAAAGGGAAACAACTCCCCTGTATCTTCTCCACTGGACAATTTTGACAAAACTTAGTTGCGTCAAACAACAATCAGAGTAACCATTTCATAAGTATTTGCACCTAATTTTGGTTTATGTCCTGAGAATTATAGCAAGAAAAAGATTTTTAAAACTGGACATCAGATGGATGTATTTCCCTAGAAGAGTTTTCTTCATGCCGCTTTATATTTTTATAACCATGGTGAAATATTGCTAATATAGCCTGAACCACCCTGTATATTAGCTCGCTCATATCTATCCAATGAACACTTTAGTTGATGGAAAATACATCGAACCATTACTCCTAATAACTTCAAGAAATTCATCATAACAAATATCATAGGATTTCTCCACAATGTTCTGCTCTTTCAAGAAAGCCACAAAAACCTGGTAATCAAATAATTCTGAATCCGCCCCTGGCATGGTCGCGTCTTTACTGCGCATGCTCACATTTGCCGTCCGAGTCACGTTAGGGAACACACGAATAGAACGATATTGGCCTTCTAGGTCTTTGACTTCTTTGGTCTGTTTCAGTGGAAAATTTTTATTTACTTATTTCCAAGTACTAAGGCCCGTATTTATAGTCGCTCCTTAAGGTGACCTCGTCCCTTAAGGCAACCTTAAGGACCAGTTTCCAATTTATAGTCGTAATATGAGCTTTAAGGAAGCCTCAAGGAAATGTCAATTCCAAGGAAGGTAAAGAGGTACCTTGAGCATTCCTTGATTCAATTTCTAGTATAATTTCAGGTTATGTAATGAATTTCATAAATGGAATGATGAAATTTGAATGTAGTAATCAAATGAATATTCAAGTCTTGAAATTTGTACAGAGAATCTGATTCGAGTATATTGATTTCCAGTAGAAGCTGATTCAAGTTAAGTTGAAAAGTAAAATTAATCTTTTTTTATTTCGAATGATAGGTATATATTACAAATAATGGAAACTACATATTTTCATTACATATAGGTAGGTATCATCTTGATGATTTGTTCGTGAAATTGAAATACATACATTTTCGATGAACAAGCACACAAAATCACAGATACATTCGAAGTATTAAATCAAATGGATATTCTTCCTCTCCTCGGCATATTATTTCATTGCAGCTCGAAATAATACGTTTTTAATAGAGTAAACATTTTTGTATTGTAATTTTCCAATATCATCATCCATAAACTCTTTGACCCCTTCTTCATATTGCGGAAAGTTGGATATATTATTTTGTCTATGATCGAAGTAATATGCTGTTAGGCCCAATTTGAACCAACCTTTGAAGAGTATTACTGGATTATTAAAATCTTTCGATGTGTGGTCCACACTCCACAGTAAACAATAAACATTTTCAAGTGATTTTGTGATAAACACGTGACATGAAACAACAAATTTGGTCACAGAACAGTAAAATTATACACTGTTGCCAAGTGTGAGGGCTCCTTCTAGAAGAAATACTCAAGGGAGGTCTATAAAACCAGTTTAATGTCAAGTGCTGAGGAGTCCCCAAGAAATCCTCAGATAAGGAAGACTTGAGGAGTTCTTGAGGAAACGACTATAAATACGGGCATAAGACAAGTTCACTGTCGCAAACTGTTTTTTCCACAAAGCTCTATACATTTTTCAAATAATTATTGAAATTCACGCTATTTCCAAACATGAAAAACACGGGAAAACGCGCCTCCTCAGAAGGAACTCGCCCTAGACTTTAGTGAATTCAGTGGACTGAATACTACCAAGCGACTACAGACCGATCGCAATGCTATCTATTATTTCAAAGATCATGGAGAAAGCTATCAACATCGAGCTCATGAAATACCTGGAAAATTCAGGTATTATGATGAGCAATATGGCTTCCGTCATCAGAGATCAACTGGTGACCTGCTCGCTTACGTCTCACATATATGGCAGCAATCTATTGAAAAATATGGTGAAACTTTAGCCGTGGCACTTGATATCTCCAAGGCATTCGATCGAGTCTGGCACCACGGACTGCTCACCAAGCTTCCATCTTATGGCTTGCCTCCCCAGCTATGTTCTCTGCTAGCTAGTTTTCTCCTAAACAGGTCTCTCCATGTAGTGGTCGACGGAGTTTCATCTGACTCTCTTATCATAAATGCTGGTGTTCCGCATGGATCAATTCTAGCACCAACACTATTTCTACTCCATATCAACGATTTGTTGGAAGCAACTTCATGTCCAGTACACAGCTTCGCGGATGATAGTACCCTGCATACCACCTCCTCTTCCAGGGTTCCAATACCAGCCAGGCAGTTCAGAAACGAACGAGGGAGAAATGTTGATAACATAAATATGGACTTGGCAACAATTCTCGAATGGGGATCCAATAACTTGGTAGATTTCAATGCAAACAAAACACAAGCATGCCTCTTCTCTAGAAAAGCGCATCTCACTGTGCCCAACATAAGCTTCTCAGGAGTAACCATACCTTTGAAGACATACATTTCGATGCTTGGTATTTCTATCAGCAATAACCTTTCTTGGGAAAATCACGAGAGATCAATTGCTGAAAGTGCATCCCAAAAACTTGTTTTTTTGTTTCGGGCCAGGAGCTATTTCACTTCTAGACATCTGCTTATGATCTATAAGGCACAGATCCGACCTGTCCTGGAATACTGTTCCCATATTTGGAGTGCAGCACCCAAACATACTCTGAAACTGTTGGATTCTGTCCAGAAAAGGGCAATTCGTCTCGTGGGTGATGCTTCGCTCACAAACTCACTCACTTTTCTGGAACACCGTAGAAAAGTTGGCGATCTGGCTCTATTATATAGATATTTTCATGGACGATGCTCTTCTGAAATATCAACAATTGTTCCTCCCTTGGCAGTCCCCGCAAGATTAACCCGTCGAGTTGAGGCTTCGCACCCCTTCGTGGTCACTTTGGAGACCTGCAGAACATCTCTTTCCAAAGACTCGTTCATCCAACGAACAGCGAGGCTCTGGAACACATTGCCAAGGGAGGTGTTCCCCGAGTTATATAACCTCCAGAAATTTAAGAAGAACACCAACTCCTACCTTATTTCACTTGGTTCTCACGATATTCTCTGAACATTAGAACATTACAGGATATCCCTTTTCGTGGAAACCAGAACATAAAAAAAGATAACAGAGAACACAACACGCAACTGTAGAATCAGATAATAAGCGGAATATATTTGAATATTCGCATCTTGACTAGATGAAACAATGATTTGAAGATGGAGGTGACAGACGGTATTGACGTTAGGAAGTTAGGTTGACAATGTAGTTCGTTTTCTTCTTTTCTTCTTGTATTTCTGGGAACTCTAGGCATTAAGCTGTTGCCAAGATTTGGGTTTAAATAAAATCTCGATCATTATTAGGAATACTAGAATATATTTATTGGTACTGAAGCATCTTGCAAGTACATGAGTATTCAATAAGTGGTCGAACTATTGTCTTCTGTGAATGTGAATACTATTGTCATTGGTCATTGGCTTTTTCGAAGGTGCCGAATTTCATTATTGAAAAAAATATATTCGCGATGATTTTCAATAACGAATGATTGCATAAAATACTATTTATATATGCACTGTAGTGTATATTTTGAGTGGTTGATTGATTGTCATGATTATCATTCAAGAACCCGAAGAGGCAGTATCGTCGTAAAAAGTTGAAACCAAAGGTGGACGTTCGGAGTCCATCTACTAGCGCTGGTTCAGTGCCTAGCACTTCCTCGACTTCTGCAGTTAGCAGTAGCGGGGGAGGCACGCCGAAACCCAGGAAAGGTATGAAGACTGTTAAACAACGATTAGGAAAAATCTTGAAAATACATAAAATGATACATTAATATTGAATGTAAACTAATGGATAATAATAATTATGGAATATTCGACAGATACACTAGTGTTCACAAAATATTCCCACCAAATAATTTCAATAATCAGTTGAAAGTGATATCTTTGTGATAGTAGAGAACTCAAAATTGTATGATTCTCTAATGGTTATATGACATGCCGTTTCAATAATCCCTATATGTGCCATATTCTCGGCATATAATATTAATTAGCTAGAGACCTATGAAAAATCAAGTAACCAAAACATAATCTGAAAGTATTTCCAAGATATATCAACTCTGATTGCTAACACCTGCTATAAGTGCTGTTTCTTGAATATGTATTTTCCTCGAATGTTTTCTTGAAAAATCAGAACCTCTCTTGATGTACATTACTAATGAAACACACTGTATATAGTTGGAATCTAGATAGATATAGTGTCTACCCTTACGTTTGTGACATATAGAGAAAAGATTAGCTATTATAGTATTGAAACAAATCTTTGACTGATTGATTGTGCCTCTCCGATAACCTAGAACTCAATCTTGACATGTCACGTGACCACTGATATGGCAGTGTATTGAAAAAACGAGACCAATCGAAGAGTTGGTGGGAAAACTTATTCACGATTATTTGTGGAACTTTGTAATCAGAAAAAACTCTGAATATTAATTTGGAAATAATGAATATATGGAGGCATATGCATAATAAGCTGAAAACTATACCATATCGTCCATATTCAATCTTGAAGGGTTTTTATTATGAATTAAGGGTATCATATACAGTGTGTTTGGGAAGAAACTGAAAGGCGACTGGGTGAAATAATTTAGTATCCATTTGATCTAATACCTATATTATTTTTCAAGTTGAATATCGATATTCACTGCTAGAAATGAAAATGTAGATGGAAATGTGATCAAATAAAACACAAGATATCTAGATTACAAATTACACAAAGTTTTGAACATTTAAAGTAAATAAGGATTTAGTACTGAAATTCGAAACTTTGAATATCGAGAATCTACGATTGAAAAAACAATCAGACTTTTGCTAATAAGATAGGTATTCATCAAATCGATCCTGAATCAGCCCGCCTAGCAGCTTTTCAGTTTTCCGCATCTCCCAAACACGCTGTATAATATCACGGATCCGAAGGGTTTCAAATTGTATTTTTGAAATATTCTTGGATTTTTTGTTATCTAACCCTTTTTGCGACCTCATAGTAATGTTTCACTCACAGTATATCGGAATCGTTTTTTTTTTACTCTTGGACATGCACATTGGACCACTCAAAAATTTGTTCTAATGAAAAATGTTTCCTTATGTTACAAACTTCATGGTAGAAACTGGGGAGACATGAGAGCAGCTCCAATTTATTTTAACTGTATTTATGTGGTAGCGAGATTCTGATAATGAAGTAGAAAAAATACCACGTAGATACAATATTGGTTTCACTGGAAAACCACTCAAATTAAACTTAAACCCAACCTACAACATTTCTATCAGTGACGAAATCTTCGTATGAGCAATTTCTTAGCGTCTGACCAATAAAAAACTGGTTCAACCTTGAAAACCTGTTAGGTGCTCATCTATACAAAATTGAATAATTAATAAATCGCGTGGTGCAACTGAAACTTATTCTCAAACATCTTATATTATGCAGAGATGCAAGTTCATACAACATATCCGGGTTCCCAATCTCTGAGGATAAGGATAAATAATAAATTTGCTTATACAGAAGTCTATTTCGCAATCTCTCCTATGAAAATATGGTTGTGTTTCCAGTTGTGCCGCCTCAGCCCTGTCTTTCTGTATAATTAGCTTTTTTTTCTCGAGTCACCCTACTCAAGCTCCCCCTGAGGATCAAGTTGTCGGCCTACTATGATCAAAAAAGGGCGGTAGAAATTGAGAAAAAGTACCAGGCACATTGTTGTATCAAAATTTTGAAGATGTAATTTGATTAAGCTTGTCCTAAATTACCCCATATAGAATTTCAATTGAGTATATCATTCGGAGTGTCATGTTTCGTGTATCTGGGAATATTTTTATCCATGGCCTTATTTTTTTCTCATTTATTTCTAACGAATCATTTTTTCTGACATTCTCCCCCTCAATTTTGTTCTGGTTGTGCCATGTCTGTTATTATGTACTGAAAGAAAAACTACGCGCCTGATTGCTCCTAAATATAATGTACCGAATGTACTGGGGCTTGAACCCTCCCAAAATTACAAGGCTAGCCTCGCCACTATAAATATGTCTAATACATTTTCGTATCATGATAGTAGTAGGAGAAATATTGCTCGAAAATGTTTTGCTCTATAGGGAAAAAATGCGCCAGGAGATACGGAAATATGTGGGTGAAGTGGAGCAAATTGAAACACACTGTATGAATTTCTGGTGGTTGAATTAAATGATTTTTTTTATTTTGTGAACACTAGTTTATCTTCAGTGTGTTTCGTTTCAGTCCTATACATCCTCTTTGTTTTGGAGAGAAAAATATACAACAACAAGCAAAAATATACTTAACATAAGTGCGAATTATCGAAATAAATAAGTAAATAATATCAAAGGAGTCTTGGTTCAGCTTTATTGTATTTTGATATCTTATTACCGAAGTAATTTCAATAACAAAGAAATCGGAAGTCTGTATGGACTGGAACGTTAATGCATTAGGTACATGTATTAATTTATTCTTAACAAAAATCTCAGTATTTTTTATTTTTAATTATTTGTGGAAATAGAGTTTTCTGACATTCCGAATCTGGAGTGAACTTTCCCTTGCACGATAAAATAATGTATAAACTGCTAGAACAAATATATGCCGGAAAACTAGTGTCATTATCTGGGAACTTGAAATTTTGTTGATACAACGAAGCAAATTGGAAGGTATAAAATATAAGAGGTTTTGATTATGATCAACCACTCCAAGTTTCACAAGGGCATTATTATTGCGAATTCATTTTCACATTGATTTGTATACAAAAGGTATGTTATAACAAGTGATTGAAAGGCATCTTTGTAGTAACTGTTGATCATTGTGCAATATTGTACAATACGATACAAATTTCCTCCCATCAGTCTTGAACATTGCAAAAGTATTATAGTCCCTAACTCTTGATAGTACTAATTTTGGACCGATATGTATACATAATTCTCAGAGAAGGATGTTTATACTATTTCCTCCTCTTACTCTGATGTCATCAAACAATGTTATAACTCGCCTGCAAATTTCAGATATTCTTTATAATTAATTATGTATGTATTATCCATACTAATAGTGAATTAAAAATGTTTTTATTAATTAAATAAAACTATGTAAGACTGAAAAATTATTGTGTGTGGATATTTCTGATTTCAAAGGATTCAAGGTACCTTTCAGATAGATCATCTCGTAATTTCGTATTTTTTATGTTTGATCTGTATTTTTTTACGTGCATCTCTTTATCGAATCCGAAATCATATTATCATAATTGTTTCGTGTAAAATTGGCATTTATGTCAAGCTATACGGGTATCGAGCTAGATTATCTCATGCTCATAATTATATTATGAAACTCATCATGGCTCACGGTATTGAATTGTTTGCTTCCTTCAGTTTTTCATTGTAATTTTCACCATTTTTCAATTGTTACAGAATTGTTTACAGCATGGGATAATGTATAATAATAATTGTTGAAATTTTTAAGTTTATTTTTGTTATTAAGTAATAAGTTTTATTTGTGTGAAATTCTACAAATTTTCAGCCAAATATATTTTATACCTTATCGGGTATATATGATTTTCAAATTAATTTAGTTCTAAATTGTCATCTTCTGTATAATATGTACATTCAAAATTTTAGGGTATGATATTCAGGGAAATTTGAATTCGACTATTTGTAAATAAAAATTGTTCATTTGTACCCAGGATAACTGAAGTTTGTATGCTGAAAAAGTTCACCCGATAGTACACCTACTTCAAGAATTAGTTCCTTCTTTCATCAGCTACTGACAAGTTATCGGTTTTTTTTACGAAAGTTGTGCTTTGATAGTGAATATTTTCAGCCCATCAAATTAAATTATCCTAGGAATTTCTGTGATCCTGCAAAATGTAATTTTGCATTTAGTATAATTTGTAATAATTGTTGACTACATAATTAAACAAATCGTTCGACTGTCTATTCACTTTTTAATATCTATTTACTCGATTATCTCACTATAATTCTGATGTTGGTGAATAAGTCAGTATAGACACGAATTTAATCATGAAACATAAATTATGGAATATGTTTCACACATTGTCCTGTGAGTTCACTGATTCACCGTGATGGACTGTAAGAGTTTTCACAAATCCAAATTTATATAAAACGTGCGGTTGTAACACGGTTGTTTCATTTTTAACCCCTCTCTAACCACTAACTGTCCTTGTTACAATCCTATCAACAGGATTCCGAAACTAACAAACACATCTAACATCTTTGAAACAAAGAAAAAAATCGCCGAGATATTCTAATTTTCATCATTTGTGGAACTTTTCCAGTCAATACGTCATCAATTTGAATATAAATGACTCAACAAACGAGGTTTCACCAAATTTACAAAAAAAAAATGTTTTGTTTAACACAAGTAAAATATTCGTACAATAAATTGATTTACCATTGACTTGTCTTACTTACTGGGTGTATTTTAATTGAAGACTAAAATTATAGAATATGGTTTCTTAGCTCATTTTAAGATGAAAAGTTCATATGAACATATTCCCCTCCTCAAATTTCGAACTATAGGGTGTTTTAAAATTTCAAGAAAAAAATCGTTTTCCTATCATAACTTCAATACTGTTCTATATATTTTCATGCAATTTGTCATGCACCTACAAAGCACCAATAGGTATTTTTTTCATGCAGGTCTGCAGGAGATTTTTTAATATGGCCATTGCTTTTTCCAAAAATAAATATTGTTGGAATCCTCTATTATTTGACATCTCGATTTTTTTTTTCGTCCGACCTACCGTTTTCGCGTAAAAAAATGAGAACCATTTTGGCTAACTCAATCAATTGTCTTTACTTGAATAAGAATCAGACAAAAACACATCTACCTACAAACTACCTCAGGAGATTTTGGGGATTTTACAATGCATTAAAATAAAAAAAACAAGTTTTCCACAAGTTTTGACAATTTCTGTGGTTAAAATAGACTAATACTATTTAATTTTATTATTACAATTGTTGTCCTCCTGCTAGATTAAAGGCTTCAATTGTCTTTCTCATGAATTGGCGAATCCTTTCCTAAATTCCAGGAGTATTTCTTATGGTTTGGCAAGAATGTATAATTGTCTGCCTTAGTTCCTCTACAGTTTGAACCGGCGTAGTACAAACTATAAAGTCATGAGGTGTCCCCACAAAAAATAGTCTGAACTATTCAAATCAGGGCACCTGGGAGGCCAAGATTGAGTTCCCCACGTCCTACCAGCGATTCGTAAAAGCTTCATTTAGAAATAAATACCCCAGCATGAATGCTGGAATGTGCAGGAGCACCATCATGCATGTAACATCTTTGAGCAAAATTGGCAAATTGTTTTCAAGAAAGTGACTGTAGGATAGTCCATATCCAGTCGTCCTGGAAGGTAGAACGGTCCTGAGGAAATCTTCAACTATTCCAGCCCACGCATTCACGAAGAATTTTCTTGAGTAGGTATCAGTTTCGAAAATAAGGAGGTGACCTATTTCAGGTGAGACACACTGTATGTAGTTCGACCAATCTGAGTATTTTTATTTTTTTTTTGTGGCATACATGTGTCTCAAATATTTCAGAGAACAAAATAAGTAGGTAACTCATGCTAGCAAACGAATCAGCTGGAAAATCCAAGTAGGTTCTACAACAAGTAATTCAAAACAATTAAATATATGACAGAAAAGGTTCTGGAAGAAATTTGAGTAGGTATGCTATAGGTATATGGTATAGATTTCCAATAATGTGTGAAAACTCAATCAATATGCTACCGGTTTTCATTGAGTGCTGTATGCATTCATTTATTTCCATGGGTGAAGACTGAAAAGGGAAAACGTTTTGATTTGTTTCGTGGAAAAAAGTCATCAAAGAACGGCATTTCAAGTTGCAGTATCAAGGAGACGGATAATCTTTGTATACAGTGTGTTGAAATTCGGTTCACCCCACCCGCCCTGTACTTTCGTATTCCTAGGACGATTTGAGAATTTTTCTTTCCTTATAATATACTATTCAAAATTATCTTCTTTGTCGAGCAAAAAAAATCATTTCTTTTCATTTCAAATTTCTTGGTCTATTGCGATCACGAAAACTTCAGCAAAATTGAAGAAAACGGATTAGGCATTTTTTTACAAAAATTTTGATAATGACAATCGATTCAGACTAGCCACAAATTCTCCCATATCAATTTTCAAAATAATATATCATAAGGGGTGTTTTTTATCAACGTTACAATTTTTGAATAATTATAAAAATTTCAATGATACCAGGCATGATGGAAGTCAGGATCAGATCATCTGTCTACAGAGTGAGATACATACTGAATAAAATCACTAGAAATTTACATTTTCTAAACTTAACAGCAACCATTCCTAACAAGTTCTGACTTTTGTATTCTCGATCAAATCTCATTCATTCTCTGCACAATTTTCATATGTCTCGCACCTTTCACGTTATTATTCAACTCTCCTCTATTTCTTGGCCTGAATTTTTCAGTCTGTAGCCAGATAATCTAATCCTGACTACCATAATGTCTGGTTTTATTCAAATTCTTGAAAGAATTATAATACACGGTGACTTATTTAAGAATTCAATCATCCAAAAATTGCAACGTTGATAAAAACACCCCTCATGAGATATTGTTTTGAAAATTGATATGGGAGTATTTGTGGCTAGTCCAAATTAATTGCCATTATTTAAATTTCCGAAAAAAAAATGACTATTCCGTTCTCTGATGTGTCTGATAATTTTTATTTTCTCGACAAAATAGATAATTTTGAGAAGTGTATTATGAGTAGTATTTCATGGGGAAAAAAATCTTGAATCGTCCTAGGAGAATACATGGTTTCTGGTGGAGCAAATAGTAACACACTGTATAAACCTTCACATCTACTGAAGATGGTTATTTAACTTTCTGAAATACACATTGATATTTGTAATAATATTCATGTGTATATAAAAACACCTCTTTGTTTTCAAAATTCAGTACCATAGGTAGGTATAACATACTCTGTGTGTGAACTTGAATAGAAGTTCAGCTAGTTATTTTTAGTAAGATTGGTAACTTCATTTATGACTTAAGGACCAGTGTGAAGGTGCTAATTAACTCAAAGTATTTACATAGGTTTTAAACTCTAAGATTATTTAGTAAATTACATATCAATAATTATTTATTTTCACAGAAATGGAGACTTGCTGAGCTGTTATAGTTCGTTTATAATTTTTTTGTCATACAAAATTATTTCTAATTTCAGTGTGTTCCATTTATTTGAATAAACTCCCAAACCATTCACAAGAAGTGGTTCTCCCAACTACTTTTTATCGTAGTTTTTTGTTTATGCTTTTTTTTTGCCAAGTTCCTGAACAGTGAAAATGTACCACTTCTTGAATACCCGTCGTTGCAGAAGCATCAAAATAAATCTTCAGAATCATCATTGTCAATTCTGAAGATTATTATATTTCGAAATGGTGAGTTATATTTCATTTAATTAGCTTTGATTTTTTTCTGCATGCCGAATAACCAAAAAGTCGAGAAATAAATTAGTTTACAAAATCATCCAAACCATTATGTACAGGGTGAAACAGGTGACATTTTGCTGCCTGCCACAGTTTTCATGATTTTTTTTTATCCACAGCACTTTTCTTTTAGAACTTCTTATTACATCGAAAGTGACCCCCTGAATTGTATTTCATTAAAATAATCTAGGTTGAATCCGAAAATTTTGAGGTTTATAAAAAATATGTGGTTCGTTACAGCTAGTTATTTGCTTCACAGAATAAACTAATCTTAGTTTTCACAAAATTGTGAGACGAATGAAGTATTTTCAGGTATATTTTTCAAAACTGGCGCGAAATATGGGAATAATACCGGCTCACCAATACTTTTTGAATTCCATCTACGGCTGTCCTATAAATCGGAAGATTTTAGAATTCGTATCAAAGTCACCTATATCTACTTTTTTCAATTAAATTCAATTTATATACCAAAACCAAATGCAACTCTGTGGTGAATCTGGCTGCACAGAAAGATAATTCCAAGATGAATAAACTGGAATATACAGTGCTAAAATTAGAAAATTGTGGTTTTCCTCTGATTGAAAATAAAGATTTGAAATTCGAAGTGTAGCTTCAGTGGGTTTGAAAATTTTGTTAGTAACTGAAAAACAAAGGCTAAAATATAGGCAACGGTGGATACCTAATTCATAATATCGTGCTTGAAATTGGTTTGGATTCCACTTGAGATAGTCATTATAGTAAATATAAACGTTTGCATCGGGAAATTGTAGATAAAACATAATATAAAAAAAATCTGCTTGTCGATCACACATACAGTATGATGCAAATGTATGGAATAAATCCATTTCAAAACAAGACGACTTTCGAAAAAAATCCAAAAACTAGAGTTCAGAACTTTTTTATTGTGTATTTTTTCAACTAGACGACCCTTCGATGTTCAATTCTCAGTAGCAGACCTCTGCAAGATTCAGTTAACCAAATGATAATCCATTTTAATTGCAATATTCTTATGCAAAATTTTGACTGGTGGATAGACGATCAGTAGACCTTTCAAACGAGGTGTCACATGACCCCTGCTTGTATTTGAAAAAATCGTCCATTACGTCATTACTTCTACACCAGTGACGTAACATCTCTCATATGAATGTCATGAGATGAGGCTTCAAAAACTAAAACTCACGTGTTTTTGGAATTTCTTCAAATGTCGCCCATTTCTGAAATAATGAATTTATTCCATACATTTGCATCATACTGTATATGATATTTTTGAGATTCGCAATTCGTTTAGTTTTGCTCATTCAATCATTCAAAAATCTCCAGTAACCTGATAGTGAGTTTATCAACTCCCGCAGTTAGTTACAGATTGAAATGTTTCATCGATATTATTTTGAAAAGCCATCTCTTCATTTTTTCTGTAGCGTGAAGTCATCTCAATCCACGTCGGCCAAGCTGGAGTCCAAATTGGAAATGCCTGTTGGGAACTGTATTGCCTCGAACACAATCTGGACAAAGAAGGCTATAACGTTAGCAAGGAGGTTACCAGCGATACCAGTTTCAGCACATTCTTCAGCGAGACTTCTTGTGGAAAACACCTCCCGAGGACCGTTTTCGTCGATTTGGAACCAACTGTGATAGGTAAATCTGAAACTTAAATAAATAAATAAATATACAATGTACAGGGTGATTCACCATAAATGTCCCCCCGTCTAGCTCACTTATTTTTGACCCGATTTGAAAAATCATCTAAAATGATTTTCCATAATTTTTTTTTCTGTTGCATCAGAAAATACAGGGTGCTCGGAACGAACGATCTACAGAGTACTACTTGATTTTTTCAAATGGAACACCCTGTATTCCATTTTATTTTTAGATTCTCCCTAAAGAGGTGATTTCATCAATGGGTCTATCGTGAATGATTACAGAGATATAGGGTGTTCAAAATCGAGATTTTTCAACTTAAGGATTTTTTTGTGTCGAAACTATTCATTATTGGTCAAAACGGCTTCAATGTCCCTATCTCAACTTTTGATTTACTATCTACTGACATTTAATTGGAACATATACAGGGTGTAAATTTGAAAACTTTCAATGCGAATATCTCGCGAAATAAAAAGTTAGAAAAACGCCGCTTGGCAAAAATGCTAAAGAGTTAAGGGGAACTAGAACCACCATATTTCAGTGAAGGGATGAGTCACCCTGTCAGCGCAACACACCCCAACTTTGAAATGTTAAATGGCACTACCTCTTTTGTGATACCTCAAATGAACGGTCTCAGTCAGTAGTATTTACCTGTACAAAACATTTTTTCCACCCACTACAGGGTGTACGAAAAACATTAATTCGGGGGTCTAAATTTGAAAACTTTCAATGCGAATATCTCGCTAAATAAAACAGTTAGGAAAACGCCGTTTGGCACAAATGCTACAGAGTTAGGGGGAACTAGAATCACCATACTTCAGTAAAGGGATGAGTCACCCCGTCGGCGCGACACACTCCATCTTTGAGATGTCAAATGGCACTACCTCTTTTGTGATACCTCAAATGAACGGTCTCAGTCAGTAGTATTCACCTGTACAAGACTTATTTTCCACCCACTACAGGGTGAACGGAAAACATAAAGTCGAATAAAATAAAATGCAGAATGCCGATATATTCCAAGAGATGTGTTCCAAAATGTTAGAATGGCATTTGAACATCGATTATACTATTGCTTACAACAGAATGGAATGCATTTTGAACATCTGATCAAATAAAATATCCTTTTAACACAATTCATTTTATTTTATTCGACTTTATATTTTTCGTACACCCTGTAGTGGGTGGAAAAAAAGTCTTGTACAGGTGAATACTACTGACTGAGACTGTTCATTTGAGGCATCACAAAAAAGGTAGTGCCATTTGACATTTCAAAGTTGGGGTGTGTCGCGCCGACGGGGTGACTCATCCCTTGACCGAAATATGGTGGTTCTAGTTCCCCTTAACTCTTTATCATTTTTGCTAAACGGCGTTTTTCTAACTTTTTTCTTTCGTGAGATATTCGCATTGGAAGTTTTCAAAATTACACCCTGTATACACTGTGGTTCAAGATTCAGAATTCTGATCACCCTGTATCTGTTCTAATTATTAAATGTCATATAGTAAATCAAAAGTTAAGATACGGACATGTAAGCCGTTTTGACCGATAATGAATAGTTTTGTCACAGAAAAATCCTAAAGTTGAAAAATCTCGATTTTGAACACCCTATATCTCTGTAATCATTTTCGCTAGACCCCAAGTGTGATGCATTGATGAAATCAGCTTTTCAGGAAGAATCTAAAAATACAATGAAAAATAGGGTGTTCCATTTAAAAAAATCAAATAGTACCCTGTAGATCGTTTGCTCCGAGCACCTTGTATTTTCTGATGTAGCGGAAAAAACTCTATCGGAAATCATTTTAGATCATATTTGAAATTTTGCAATCGGTTCAAAAATAACTGAACTAGCGGGGGGACATTTATGATGAATCGCCCTGTATGTCACGACGAGCTTACACTATCTCTACATCGAGAATCAGTCATGAGAAATCCATGAAAATATACATGCTTATATTTTAGAATACGGTCTTTTCATTTAGAATATTTTCAGCAATGCAGTGTTGTCGCTTCTATTAAAAAGTAGCAACAACTTTGTTATTTCAAATAGAAAACCCTGTATTTCATTGCATTTTTAGATTTTGCCTGAAGAGCTGATTTCATCGATACATCACACTTTGGGTCTATCGGAAATGATTACAGGGATATAGGGTGTTGAAATCGAGATTTTTCAACTTTAGGATTTGTTTTTGTCGAAACTATTCATTATGGGCCAAAACGGCTCACATGTCCCTATCTCAACTTTTGATTTACTATTAACTGATATTTAATCGGAACAGATACAGGGTGACCAGAATTCTGAATCTTGAACCACCCTATAGTGAATCAAAAGTTGAGATTGGAACATGTGAGCCGTTTTGACTGATAATAAATTGTTTCGATACAAAAAAATCCTAAAGTTGAAAAATCCGAGATATACAGTGTGTCAAAGTTTTTCAGAAAAAAGTTTTTTTACTACTTTTCGGGTATATTGATAATTAGAATAATACTTGCATGTTAATTTGCTTTCATGAGTTATACTTCTGTTTCACAAGATAATATATAAGTATCCATGGTTTAGAGAAGGTCTGGGAAGAATGGACGTCGACAGGACGTCCCTGCAACGTCATGAAACTGACGTCTTCTTTTACCCATCTAAAAGTGACGTTCACTCGACGTCGAAACGATGACGTGATTATCACGTCATAGAAGGTACGTCATAGTGACGTCATAAATTAGTGTGTGACGTCTCTGACGAAAAATCACCAATTAGGGACGTCACAGTGACGTGATAATTCGTCATCTGGTTGCCTGGGGTGTGGCATATTGATGAAATTATCTCTTCAGGGAGAATCTAAAAATGCGATGAAATACAGGGTGTTCCATTCGAAATATCGATATTGTATAAGCGGCAACAATGCATTGTCGAAAATATTTTAAATGAAGAGAGCGTATTCTAAAATATAAGCATGCACATTTTCATGGATTTATCCCGACTGATTCTCGATATAAAGATAAGGTAGGCACGTCGTGACATATCCTGTATAGGGTGTTTCAAAGTTGTGGTGACAAAAGCGTAGGGGAGATTCCTTTCGACAAAATAAGAAAAAAGTTTATATGAACATGAATCCGAAAATGCTCCGTTTCAAAGTTAAAAAAAAATTATTTTATTTAATATCTCGAAAACGCTCGAGACGATTTGAATGAATTTTGTATGGTTCATTTACACAATTATCAGACATCTACTGTACCAATTAGATTCGATTCATAATGACCAGGGGCGTACACATCGAACAAGTCGATTTTATTTCGTAAAGAAAAAAGTCACCCTGTATTTTTGTTTGGGGTTATTCTTAAATATTCAGATAAACCCACTAAAAATAAAACATTTCTGTATTGGTATTGTTCTGTATCTTGCTTCGTCTTTGGAGAAAAACGACTAATAAAACCTCGGCCATTATTTTTTCAAGATTTAAAAACTTATATTCTTAAACTTGGACACCCTATATCCTGGAATGAAGGCATATTAACTTTTTTTTATATTTTGTTGAGAGGAATATCCTCTAGGCTTTTGTCACCGAAACTCTGAAAAGTCTGAAACACCCTGTATGGTCACATATCTCGAGATTTAGTCTTACATTTCGGAAAAAAAACAAGATTGTTTTAAAATATGGTAAATCCAAAAATATGCATGATTCTTGAATCATCTCTGTTTTCCCCTTCATTTGAATATGACACACTGTATGCCATTCTTTTTAAATTGAATAAAACCAGAGGTTTGATTGGGTTATATCTAAAGAATACGAGGAATTTTAAGAAATACGCACTCATATAAATACAGGCTGTTATAAATTCGTGGCTATAGGGATCTCGGAATCTTAAGAGATACAGGGTAGGTTAAATTAGGGCAAAGTTGCTCCATTTCATGCTCAACAAAATGCTGCTTTGAAATCGGAAACATTTCAATTCGTTTTTATTTCTTACTCAGTTTATTTGAAGAGATATTTCAGAATGAATGTCACTTCATCATTGCCACTTTCCCTCCTCTACAAAATGGAATTGTCATATCTTCGAGCTGTCATCATCAACTTTATTTTTCCAAATACGGACCTGGATTTTTCATTTCATTTTTCGATATCCTTGATATGATGGTATTTCAAAACATTACTTAAAATGTTTACTTCGATGAAACATTTTTTTTAAATATATGGAGATAAGTACCCATCTTTTGTCTAACACAGCGCTTCTGTCTTTGTCTAACACATTATCCATTTCGAAGAATCTTCTATACATAATTGAATTGATCTTATTCTAAATGCATTATTAGTTATATGTAACCAAAAATGATAATCAAGCAATTGTTTATTATTTAATGAAATAATATTATTGATTCATGAAAACACAAATTTCAATTTCTAATAATCGTTTTGGTAACAAAAATTGTCGGTTGCATTTTCTTGAATATATGATTTTTTTTTCGACTATTCCACTCTTGATCTCGAGAACCAATCAGAATCGACCATTTTCACGGTTTCTTCTGTATTCTAGCTAAATTTTATCGGACTTGCTCTACCAATACAGAAGCCGAATTGACCCACACGTGACCAACAAACCTCGTTTATCAGCGATAAAATTTTGACATCGTATCTGGTCAAGATTGCTTTGAATTCAAATCTGAGACAATAACCTAAGTTCCTACTTCATTTTATTTACTTATAATTCGCGTTAGTGAGATATTTTGTACGAAAGGCGAGACAATTTCATTCTGGCTGGACGTTTCATGTGTAATTTAAAAAGTTTGCATATTTGTTGACGGTCTGACACAACAATACTAGAATTCAAATTCCTTTTTAAAGTAATCTTCTTCAATCACTCAAGTTATTTTGACTGACTAAAATAATTACCAGTTGATGTAGCGCAACTGATAGGGTTGTTGCGCGAGGATACGAAGGTCGATGGTTCGAGCCCTCGGCGACGATATCTTTGTTTTTTAATTATTCCATGTCAGATAAATTAAATTTTGTTTGTTTGAATTGGATTCCATTTGTATACACTCTTTTGAGAGCAACCATCTCCAAGATAATAAATAAAATACTGCGTATCAAAATTGTACATTTCAGTTTGTGAATAACTATAAGTAGGTAGTTAATTTCTAAAAAAGTAAATTCTGTATTTCAGTACTATCATTATGTTCTACTTCGCAGTTCGAGTTGGAATATACTTAAATTATGTTTCCTATTTCTTATATATTGTCTCATTCAATCATGAAATAGTCATACGAATACAACTCATGATACTATTTTTCCTGGAAATATTCGTCGATTATTGACATACTCCAGCTTGCTGCTCTAATTTCGCTCATGACAAAACTCGCCTACGGCTCGTAGTTTTGATAACAATGTCATTCACGAAATCACTAGGCAACAAGCTGTCGTAACAATCATCGAATATTTCCGGCATGTCAAGGCCAACTATAATGTGAAAAAATATTTTGATAAAATCTATTCGTTTTTGTTTTATACGCAAAAAACAGATTTTGATCATTTTCATGGCTCCTCCGTAACTTCTTTATTTATGAAAATATTCAAATAGGAATTTCACATTCTCATGGCAGTTTTTCAAAGTGATTTCGAAAAAAATATGAAATTTATACCAACTCTTCTAGAATTTGAGATATCAGCTCCAACTTCAGTTTTTCAAATGTAGGTCATAGCTTACTATGACTTAGTTACAAATAATTGTTTGTTCTCTTACAGATGATATGTCGCAGTAATAGTTTTGCGTTGATAACAACGGAGTTATCGTCATTTATACAAAAACAAAAAATTATTCGGAAGCCGCCATCTTGAATTTATGAATTTTAACAAAGAAATCATGATCTCCGACCTCAAAAACCCCCACTTACCAATTTTGAATGGAATCGGACTAAATCTTGTCCGCCATCTTCGAGCAGCCATTTTTATAAATTTCAACAAAAATTCCATAACTCCGATTAACTTAAAATTTGGCAGGTGTTCATAATTTAGGTGACAATACATTATCGAATTTTTGTTGAAATTTAAAAAAAATAGCTGCTCCAAGATGGCGGACAAGATTTGGTCCGATTCCATTCAAAATTGGTAAGAAGGGGGTTTCGAGGTCGGAGATCAAGATTTTTTCTTAAAATTTATAAATTCAAGATGGCGGCTTCCGAATAATTTTTTGTTTTTGTATAAATGACGATAACTCCGTTGTTATCAACGCAAAAGTATTACTGCGACATATCATCTGTAAGAGAAAAAAAAGTTATTTGTAACTTAGTCATAGTGAGCTATGACCTACATTTGAAAAGAAGAGTTGGTGTAAATTTCATATTTTTTTCGAAATCACTTTGAAAAACTGCCATGAGAATGTGAAATTCCTATTTGAATATTTTCATATATAAAGAAGTTACGGAGGAGACATGAAAATGATCAAAATCTGTTTTTTGCGTATAAAACAAAAACGAATAGATTTTATCAAAATATTTTTTCACATTATAGTTGGCCTTGACAAACTCCACATTTGGTGTCATTTAACCGACCTCGTATCTCTCACCGTTAAAAAGATACCCATGGTGAGCATGGTAAGTGAGACACACTGTATTTGATAATTCTTCTCTTGCTATCTTAAGGAGAACCGTTAGAAAAAAATATTGATAATCTTTCAGCAAGACCTCCTTTTTATTTCCAGATTCGGTTAGATTAGGCGAATACAAAAGCTTATACCATCCAGAACAGCTGATTAGTGGAAAAGAAGATGCCGCAAATAACTATGCGAGAGGGCATTATACTGTAGGAAAAGAAGTGATCGATCAAGTTAGCGACAGGATCAGAAAACTTACCGATCAATGTGGAGGCCTTCAAGGATTCCTTCTGTTCCACTCTTTTGGTGGAGGTACTGGATCAGGTGAGAATACATGATATGACCTGTTGAATCGAATAATTCAAAATAGAATCATGCAGATACTAAACTGCTGACCAATTAAAAAGCAACTAGCACGTTTTTGCACTAAATTCAACATTGAATATTTTCTCGAAAATTCCAAAATTATTCGGATGCAGTTTTTCTCATTTCAAAGAAAATTCATATACTTTCAGGGTATTTGAATATGTATCCCTGCAAAGCATTTCTAGCATCGTTATATATACAGGGTGTTTTCGAAATTGGGGTAATAAATGAGATGGGTAATAGAACACGAAAAGACGAAACGAAATGATCAAATACATTTTTGTCAAAAAAATTATTTTGGAAGATATTGCCATATCAAGTTTCGCAGCAACTTTTGAGAATATCTTCCCAGAGGTTAACGGCCCGACACAAATGCGTAATGCGAATGCCGACCGACTGCATTGCATTGCACTGCATTGCAATGTTGCCGGGTGTTCAATATTTATCTAAGATTAAAAAAAACAATTCCAGATACGATCGAAATTAGACATAAAAGAAGAATCTTACGAAAATAAAGAAGATAGTAATTGACGGTATGTCTGGAAAGGGTTATCTACAGTACGAGCAGGCAAGTTTCAGGCTGACGCCAAATTTCAAACTTCTCAGAACTGACGGAATTTTTAAAAAGTCTTAGTCACTTCACGTAACAGTTGCGTGAGGTAAGATATTACATAACTGATGATGAATTGTTCATTTTAACACCAGTTATGAAATGAAAATATGGATGGACGAAGAGAATAGTGCATTTTGAGCTTCCTCCTCGATATCACTTGGAAAATCTGAACTTGAATCAGCCTTTTTCCACTAATGTAAATATCAAACGAGTCTATTTCTTGAATTTCGTCGAGGATTTGTGACCATATTATTGTTTGACGGCTACTTCAAAGTGACGGGCGAAGCTAACTTGCATACTAAGAGCAATAAGTTTTTTACATAATCGGTAGAACTTATGTAGAATCGAGTGTAGAACTGGTCATTATTTCTGTTCAAACGGATTTTTTTTAATTAAAATTAGAAAAAATATTGCACGTAACACGTTAGGAAACGCATTTTGTGTAATTCTGTGTTTTGTGGGATCTCGCTTCGCTCGTACTGCAAAATTCCATTGTCACTCAAAATGACGCGTCACTGGTTACATGAATATCTATTCCAAATGTTATTTACAACGTGTTTTAGGCTACTTGCTACTTTCTCTACTGAATTAACAATCAAACTACAAAAGAGGATACCCACATCAAAATCAGTTTGAAAAATTATTCGTTTTTATGCAAAGAGCTCTTCAATCATACATTAGAGGGATATTTTGTACTTCCAACATTCACTCCATTAAATTGTAATTTGAATGTTTTCATCACCATCTTTCACATAATTATCTTATCAATGAAGAAATAGGAAAACCCAAAAGCAGGTAATAAGTGCGGTGTACTTATCCAAACGGAAGTGTCGCCTCGGGTAAGATTATGAGCTTTTAATATTGGTTTTAGCATTGGTCGTCAGTTTAGGTGTTTCGAATAAAGTTGTCTGGCGGACTTTGAATGAGGACATGCAGCATCCCTTCCATTATCAGCGTGTGCAGTCATTGCAGCCCGAAGATTATCCACGAAGGATACAATTTTGTGAATGGATACTAGGTCAACATGAAGTCAATCCAAATTTCCTGAATGAAATTCTTTTCACTGATGAGACAACATTCACCCGAAATGGTATTTTCAATCATCATAATTATCACCACTGGGCAGTTGAAAATCCACATGTGACTAAGCAAACTGATTTTCAACATCGCTTCTCGATCAATCTATGGGGTGGAGTAGTGAACGGAGTTTTAATTGGACTTCATGAGTTGCCGCCAAGACTGAATGGACTTTCCTATTTAGAATTTTTACAACATGATCTAGATACTCTTTTAGAAGATTTGCCATTGGGACTCAGACAAAGAATGTTTTTTATGCATGATGGAGCTCCTAGCCATTACTGTGCAATAGTTCGGGAATTTTTGAACGGCGAATTTCCACAAAAATGGATTGGTCGGGGAGGGCCTGTACCGTGGCCACCACGCTCCCCGGATCTGAATGTGATGGACTTTTTTGTGTGGGGTTTTTTGAAAAATTTGGTTTATGCACCACCGTTTCGGAATATCGAGAACCAAGTGATTTTAAGTGAAAAAATATACAATGCGGTTCAAGTAATGCGAGAACAAGGTAGTTTTCAGCGGGCTTGTGAATCATTACTACGCCGTGCGAGACTCTGCATAGAAATGGGTGGCGCTAATTTTGAACACCTGTTGTGAACTAAAACCGGTGCTTCTCAAGAAACAGTGGATGAAAGGATAAAAACATGAGCTGGCAACAGTGCGGGAGTAGTGCGTGAGAGCCTCGGAGAGAGCTCTTTGTACAACGGAACCAAACCAGTGCTTTCCAAACTATGGTGAGTAAAATGATCAATATTTTGAAAATTTTCGTTAGCTCTAGAAATGTTTTTTATTGCCATTTATTGTGTCATAATGTGTGATCGAACACCCCATTTCATTTATTACCCCAATTTCGGAAACACCCTGTATAGGATAATTTTTTTTATAATTTTTCTATTCAGTTAGTTTAGTTCTATTTCATCATGTCTTCAGGTTAAGTGGAAGAGCGCGGCTTCTGAAATTGGTTATTTTATATCCAATTGAAGAAGTGCGAACTTTGCCTTTGCTTTGCAGCCACCGCATTTCACGATTTATATACAGGGTGAGTCATAACTATGGCGATTGGACCAAACATGCCTCAATAAAATATTGCTGTGAAAAGAGATACAGACCGTTAATGTTGATTTTTTTCGTTTTTTGTCGATTTTTTGCTAATAATTTCACTGTATATGAAATATATTTGAAAAAGTTTTTTGATTTGGTTGCTTCCTGCCTAGATATTAGAGATATTACAATTCATACCTTCTGGCTGCATCCCGCATTTATTCATTCATAAAATGATTGTGACGAGACATTTCAATGGAAATAATTTATATATATATAAACTCGCACCAAAATTCATTCTCTGACAAAAAATGTTATTACCAGCAAGATTATCTGACAGTTAAAAGCACACTCTTCATGAATGAAATAATATTTGTAATTACCTTCTGAGACTCTGAACTGTTCAATAGCGTTTTTCTCGAAAACGGATGAAAATATCGTGTGCAAACAAGGGTACCAATATTACGTAGAAATTATGTATAGGTCATATTTTTCATTCAAAATTACTAAAAAATTTCGTCAAAAAAAGTAATCAGGCGATTTCATCATCAGGAATCATTCACCCCCTGTATCAAAATGTAAAATAGTACATAAAAAAATATTCCCTGTATGATATTATGCCTCTGTGCCAATTTTGATAACAATTGATGAATATACAGTGAAATTATTGGCAAAAAACGAAAATAAAAAGTCAACTTCAACGCCCCATATCTTTTTCCACAGCAATATTCTATAAAGGCATATTTTGTCCTATCGCCATAATTTGGTCAAAACAATCCGCCCTCAGCCTATGTCCCAATAGTTATGACTCACACTGTATATGATTCATATGATGTATATAGGTATGTATTTATATATTCATTTATTTCCACATATTATGTAAAAAGGTGTTGCAGCAGCAATAAAAGCCATATTATTATTATTATAATTTATTTTGTAAATTTCTAAAGTATTCAAATTTATTGATATTCAGCTCTGCAACCAAAACTCTACATTGAAATAATCTAAAATTCAGAAAGGTTCCTGTAAATTAGTCATCTGATGAGGATTGGATGTTTTTGAAGGATGATTCATATTTTGAAGATGTTTATTTCAAATCGTCAAGAAAATGTTTCAATATTCATATCGATAACTATACATTTTCGCAAGAGCTTTGAAGTGAAAATCATCATGAGCATATAAACAATGTTTATTAAACAATATTTTTATTTCTTCAGATGATTTATGTACTAGTAATAATCAATTCTGTATTCGGAGCCCCAATTTTTCTCGAAGATACTAGAAGTGAAGATCCTGAAGTTTATGACTATTGGACCGCTGATTAATAAAATACATAGTGATAGGTTATACAGGGTGACGCATAGCAAGAAGAGGGGGCACAATAGATCACATGGGTCGCAGTGTACACATCACAATTATCTATACATACATACAGGGTGACAAACAAACCTCTGCAAAATATTGGAAATGTATCCATGCTCCCAATTTGATGGAAAATGTTTGGGATTTATTTCAATAATATGTTTATAATGCTCGAGCATATTCCTCGAAATGGTTTCGCAATCTTTTTTTCATCTCTTGAAGTATTCAAAACATTTTTATTTTTTTAAATTTAAGATTATGTACTCCTAACCAGAAATATGTTTTCCGTGCAGGGATATTTGTCTTTGACGGATTGTTGTGACCTATACTTGTATGAATTCTCACATTGCTTATGTACAGGCTGAAATAATGGATAGATATTAATAAAGGAAGACCAATCACAACACAGTGATCAGTTGTATAGTGTTTTACATATAATTACAGAAATTTTCGCCGACATCTTACGAGAAAACGATAGAATGGATATACAGGGTCATACACCAAGGTAAATGAAATTTGTATTCAAAGAAACTTGGGGCGTTTTTTAATATATGTGATCCATCAACAATGACTTCTTTAATCTCTGGAATGTTGCTCATGGTGGAATATGTAAAATATTACACAATAACCTGCTTATTTCTTGCTGTATGAACCTGTATATTTATTCCCTCGTTTTCCTGTCCTGATACATTATATATACATACACTCTGTATATAAAAAATATAACATTTTATACAAATATAGGTCACATAAACAATCCATGCAAGAAAAAAATTCTGAAAAAAACGCTGCAACGAAAAATATTTTTGGTTGGTAGTACAAAATCTTCTTGTGCTAGGTCTTCCTGTATAATAATATCTAATACATTATATTATATGAAAAACGCTGTATATAAAAAATTTAACATTTCATACAAATATAGGTCACAACTATCCATGCAAGAAAAAAATTCTGAAAAAAACGCTGCAACGAAAAATATTTTTGGTCAGTAGTACAAAATCTCATATTTTTCTAAAAGGGAAGAGAAATATTGCCAAACTATTTCGAGTAATAATCATCTTGAGCATTATGAAATTAGGATTGAAAAAAATCGCAAAAATATTACATCAAATTGAGAGCATGAATAAATTTTCAATATGTTGCAAAGGCACGCAAAGGTTTGTTTGTTACCCTTTATTACCAGATGTCACCATGTATGTTTATCAGTGGTCTAGTAGTCATCTACATTCAACTTTAGATTACTTCGAGTTCATTCGATAAGCCAATGAATAAAAATCATTTATCAACAGTTCACTATATATAATATTATGTAGGTATACTTGCAATATAATATTTCAGTGTGAAATGTTCTTGCCGAATGCCACTTTTTAGCTTCAATTAATATCCAGAATTTTTTCTCGAACACGAATATTTAGAAAATTCGTGTTCTCGAAAAAATTTCCGGAAATAATTGATGCTCTCGTGATATTATAAGTGAAAAAATTCGATGTTGAATTTAGTGTAAATATGTGTTTGTTGTGGTTCAATTGATCAACAGTTTAGAAGGTATATTCAACATAATTCCATATCTCAATATCCTCAGGTTTCACATCACTCTTGATGGAAAAACTATCGGTGGACTACGGAAAGAAGAGCAAACTGGAATTCGCCGTCTATCCTGCTCCACGTATAGCGACAGCAGTCGTGGAGCCCTACAACGCTGTACTTACCACACACTCTACCCTTGAACACTCTGATTGCGCCTTTATGGTAGACAACGAAGCCATCTACGACATCTGCGTCAGAAATTTGAACATCCCAAGACCGGGCTATTCTAATTTGAACAGGCTTATTGCTCAGATCGTCTCATCCACTACAGCATCTTTGAGGTGAGTATATTTCTTGGGAAGTCATGCCAATCCAATGAAAAATTCTTGAATTGAGTTCAGCAATTAGAAACATATTGTATAGAAGACCACTGTTGATCCTAATCTCAAGATATTCATTTTCATACTCATATGATTCAACTGTAGCTAAGATTGAATATTTTTCAAATCGCAAGTGAAATCTGTGAGCAAAAATCTAAAACTGTAATGATCATCGTTTCATATTCTAAATAATTTTACTCTTTTAACTTTCAGGTTTGATGGTGCAATGAACGTCGATTTAACAGAGTTCCAGACAAACTTGGTACCATATCCTAGGATTCATTTTCCTCTGGTTACGTATGCACCAATTTGTTCTGCAGATAAAGCCTTCCATGAACAGATGTCAGTGACAGAAATCACCAACTCTTGCTTTGAACCATCCAATCAGGTATGAACAGGCAATTTATCCTCTCATCATGTATATCAATATTCTTCTGGTCCTTACTACAACAGTAGAAAGAAAATAAGATTTTTCATCATTATTTCAGAGTACTAATCCAATCTAGTTCACTAGCACAAACCTTGTTTTCCTCACAGCTTTACATTTTTCAAATTATCGACGCCATATGGGCGGACTAGCGCATTTGGTATGCCTATGATTCAGCGATAAGAAGTGATATTTAATTCATAAATGTCAAATTATGTAGCCTCGGCCGGAGATTGTTATCCGTACGATTCACTCTTACGTTTCAATACACAGTGATGCTCCAAAGTTGAGGAAGAAGAATAGAAGTAGTAGAATATTATGTACTTCGTTGGTATGTATGTACATACCAACGGGTCATTGACTAGGATCAGCATTATTAATTAGAACGCAACAGCGAATCGTGCGGACCGTGCATGGCTACGAAAATTGGAATTTATTACTCATTAATGTAAAAATTATCTTTTGGTTTCCTGATTACTCAATTTAGCGCTCAAGAAGTTGATAAGGAGGATTCCTTGAGAAACCTTCTTCTAATTAATCTTGCTCTAATTAAAATTAATTAAATTAGCTTCGTTGATAACAAAATATGAAAATTCGATGTCCCAAATTCGAGTGGTTTCATTTGGATCTCGGTAGCCATAACAGATACAAAGTCGGTTAGAGTAGGGCAAACATATCCGCGATTTCGTTTTGATTTTTTTGGACTTTATTTGAAGTGATATGACAAAATGAGTGTCATTATCATTGTCACTGATTCCGCTCTATCCAATGGTATTAACAGATTCGTGATCCGACGTTTCGTCTTCGAGGAGCCATCATCAACTTTGTTTTTTTAAATTCTAGAAAAAGTCTAGAAAATTGAGAATTTAATTTGGAAAAAGAGAAATTGAGTATTGGAGAAAGGTGAAGGATCTTTTAGAAGAAACGATGCATTACCATCTGACATTAGATGGCCCTCACTACCCATATTTGTACTTCATACCACTTGATTTTTTGTACCTCAAGCCACTTTGTACCTGATATGAACCAGCACTCTCTTTCATAAATGAATATGTTCTCCATGTTTTAGAATGTTTTTGATATTTTTCTCTGATTATTATCGATGTTTTCCATCTGAAACTATTCTTTTGATTTCAAAATAACAAATCGCGCGATGTAGGGCAAAGAGGTTAGGTGCATATTTTTAGCATCAATCTGTGTTTCCTAACCTTAAAAAAAAATAGTTTTATTTTTAAATAAATAATCATCTTCTCTTATTGAAATACAGGGTATGTCACGACGAACTCACACTATTTCTATATCGAGAATCAGTCGGGAGAAATATATGAAAATATGCATGCTTATATTTTACAATACGCTCTCTCAATTTAAAATAATTTCAGCAATGCAGTGTTGCCGCTTCTATCAGAAAGTAGCAACAACTTTGTTATTTCAAATAGAATACCCTGTGTTTCATTGCATTTTTAGATCCTTCCTGAAGAGCTGCCCAGATAACACAGAAACGTCCCGAAAACGTCCTCAAGCCGTACACCTCGGACATTAAAAACGTCCCCAGTACGTCCTATTTAGGTACGGCGTACGTTTTCAGGACGTTTTGGGGACATACGATGTTACACAACCAGAGGTCCCCAGGACGTACGATCAAGGTCCTGTTCAGGTCTGAACTGGACTATGAATACCTAAATCAACGTAGATCCGTTTTGTTTTACTCAGATAGTTGAAAAAGAGCTCTAGACAGGGTAAAAAAATCTTATATTGAATAAAAAAATTAAAAAAAAAACGCTCATCCTACCAGGGATCGAACCCGAGACCTTTGGATTGCCGGGCAGATGCTCTGCCTGTTACTCTACGGAACACTTGATATTTTAGTATACAACAAGGCATTATGTGCGACTGTCGATTGAACCTTCACATCGATAGTTGTATAGAATGAGATAATCGCGGCAGAAAATATACCTAAGTAGATGTTTAGTGATTAGGTACGCCCAGTAAAAAATGAATTGTGAGAATTGTATTATGTTCATGATTACAAGGTTCCTAAATGAATAGATTTCAGAGATCGAGGGTAGAAATTATGTTCAATGATTCCAATTATCATTATACAATTTATTCAATCCCGTCCACCAAAAGTCGATAACGTCCAGAGTGGGACGTACCCAGTACATCGGAATCGTACGTACCCAGTACGTCCAGAAATGGACGTTTTCAGTACGTCTTGAGAAGGTCCCGGACGTTCAGACCTAAATCGGGCCTAAACTGGACGTCCCCAGGACGTCGAGTGCTATGTGGGTGATTTCATTGAAACATTTAATTTGAGGTGTATCTGAAATGATTACAGAGATATAGGGTGTTTAAATTCGAGATTTTTCAACTTTAGGATTTTTTTGTTTCGAAACTATTCATTATCGGCCAAAGCGGCTCACATGTCATTATCTCAACTTTTGATTCACTATTTACTGATATTTGATCGGAACAGATACAAGCTAGGTGATCAGAATTCTAAATCTTGAACCACCCTGTATCTGTTCCGATAAAATATCAGTAAATAGTGAATCAAAAGTTGAGATAGGTACACGTGAGCCGTTTTGACTGACAATGAATAGTCTCGAAACAAAAAAATCATACAGTTGGAAAATCTTGATTTTGAACACCCTATAGCTCTGTAATCTTTTTCGATAGGCACCAAGTGTGTTGTATCGATAAAATCAGCTCTTCAGGGAGAATCTAAAAATGCGATAAAATTAAAAATGCGATAAAATACAGAGTGTTCCATTTGAAATATCAAATACTTTCTACTAGAAGCGGCAACACTGCATTGTCGAAAATATTTTAAATGAAGAGAGCGTATTCTAAACTATAAGCATGCACATTCTCATGGATTTCTCCCGACTGATTCTCGATATAAAGATAGTGTAAAATCGTCGTGACATCATACCCGGTATATCTGAGGTCAAGATTCGAATATTATGCATCCCTATCGTTCGGTCAATCTCTACTCCTAAATCTGCAATAAATCAATGAGAAAAGAAGTTTCTACATTTGGTCATTTGTCGTTCATGGTGTTTTCTTCCAAATGTAGAATAAGTCGATTGTGCCACTGGGTCCTTATCAGTAGTCAATCATTTTCAGATGGTGAAATGCGACCCTAGACACGGCAAATACATGGCGTGTTGCATGCTTTACAGGGGAGATATCGTTCCCAAAGATGTCAATGGTGCAATTTCGCTTATCAAGAGCAGAAGGAACATCCACTTCGTCGATTGGTGTCCTACAGGCTTCAAAGTCGGAATCAATTATCAACCCCCAACTGTTGTGCCCAATGGAGATTTGGCCAAGGTATTTTCAAACAAATATGATATTGTGCAACAAGTGGAAAAGTTCAATTTTTCTCACGCGTGTGGAAGTTACACACAAGTAAGACAAGTACTCGGAAAAGTTGTAACGGTCCACTTGTCGGACCACCCCATATGGTGTATAATTTGCAATTCGATTCTTTCTGATGCGTAGGCAACCAATCTTACATCTAATTCAGATCGTCCTATAATTTAAATATATATTAGCGCCAATTGAGATATACCAATATATATTCTCATCAAGTTATTATTTTCAATTTTGAGGTTTCATTCACGTATAAATAATTATACCTCCAATAAGTTATTTTTCGAATTTCACTATTTCGAAAGTCCAATTATATGCATAGAGTGCAGAAAATAAATATCGTTGGAGGAACCATTGAATATTGAATCGACAATAGCGCCATCAAACTAGCGAGTTTTTTTAACAAAAAGCTCGAAGTCATATCCACACAATGTTCATAAAATGAACAACCAAAGGCCAAATAGTATTCTAAGGTAATGATTTTATTTCTTTTTTTTTTCAACTTTTCAAGTAAATTTTCATTCCTTTTTCAGAAGATTATTTGTTTATAAATTCATTCATGTGTGTAATTGGCAAGTTCAAACGTTTTCCCTTTTTTTACAAGCCTTTTTTTTTCGTGCCGGCATCAAAATATACCTACTTCAATAATCAAGCCTTTCACTTTCTATAAAACTATATGGGCAAGACAATCTTGAGTCGGAACGCCATGAATTTCGTCATTTGAAGCCACATTTGAATCCACTGCCTGATCCTAATATACCACATAACTTCACATCATCTGGCTACATCCCAGGCTACCAGATGACGGTTCAGTGACGTCTTTTTACGTCAGTTGAATGACCAAGGTGACTTCAGGAGTTGACGTCGTATGACGTGATAAATGACGTGAATAAGTCACAGCCCAATGACGTCATATTACTCACGTAACGTAAGAAAACTGTGTTTTATTATATAAATATTTTTACTTGCATGCATGCATTTTAGTGCATCTATCAACTATAAATCAACTTTCTATAATCGTTAGGTCACCCCCATTTCAGAGTAAGTACTACCACATGTCTACCCCCCCCCTGGCAAATTATTGAGTCTGGGAAAGTTTCACAAAACACGTTTCAAATGGTAAATATTTGTTTCTATGGATTTCCTACTACAAACTATGGATTTCCTACCTCAAACGTAGAATTTCCAACTTCACGAACATGAAATTTCGATTTTGTAGTCGGAATTTCCAAGTTTAATCAGGAAGGAATATTACATTTCCAATTCAAACCAGGAACTTCCAACTGCAAACTCGAACTTTCCGACTAATTAGAAGAGAATTCAAAACATGAAGCAACAATTAAATTCCGAATTTCGAGTTGGAAATATCAAGTTACAATACGGAAAATGAAATTCCCATTTTCAATCTGAAAATGAAAAATATACTCTGTACAAACCCAGGATTTCCAACTGCGTATTCTGATTTTCCGACTCGTAGATGCTCGTAGCTCATTGAAAATGAAATTTCTTGTATCCCAGTATTCCCAGTATAAACTCGGAATTCTTACTGATGAAAAAATATATTGTAAATAAATGAAAAGACAACACATGACAATCGCGTCGTCTTTTGTATTATTCATTTCTTGTCCAAAACGAAAATTAGAAAATTTTGAAAATGAGTTGGCAAAATTCATTTATACTGCCCCCCTTCCAAAAAAATTCTCTTTCGGTGCGTCCCTGATAACTTCTCTTATAATATGAAGCTATGTATCAAGTAAGCTTTTTGATAAACTATTACCTATTTATTGGAAACCAAAAACAATAACATCATCCTGAATGCTGAAGTTAGTGACGTTATTAATGAAATGAAGAATCACACAAGAATAAAATTAAAATAAATGTTTATGAAGAACGATCTACGTTATGGAGGGGGATTCACGCCGAGACTTTCTAGACAGAATTGAACATCACTCCTATGACCCTAGCTGATTTCCAACCAATTGAAAGAATAATGCATTCGTAAGAAAAAATAACTGAATTGTGTATTTCTGAAAACCGGAGGACATTTTGAACACTTTTACTGACTCAATTTTTCATGATTTTAGTACAATTTATCTCGATTTTCTGCATGTGAATCTTTTTTCAATCAATAACTTCAGGATGAGAATAATGTTATTGTTTTTGGGTCTGAATAAATAGATTTTTCTAGTAATGATTAATTCATACCAGTATTACCGTGATTGTTCATTCATCATTTTCAACAAAAATATTCCGATTACGGTACACATCACTCATATCAGTATCGACGTTTACCAAGAATAACTTTTTGGTGTAAAATTGAATGATGTTCAAGTTCATATGAAATTTGGACTAGAAAATCTAAACTCAAAAAAGTTATGATTGTAACTATTCAGTACGAACCATGTAGCTAACGCCCTTTAAGAGAGTCAGATATGAAAACAAATTATTTATACTGAGCAAACCCAACTACGTTTGCATTGTTGTACCTATTCTAGTACCGCAGCCCCTTTTCTTGAAACACCATTTAAAAATATTGAGATTTTGAAGCCCGTGACCCCACCTTACGCTAGGGCTAGATCCACCCTTGACCTGGACATAGTTATTTCTCCTGGAAGCTTCGATTCATGCGTAATTCAGAATACCTATTTTGTTTCTATAATTCATTTTCTTTCTTTCTAGGTATCAAGGGCAGTGTGTATGTTATCAAACACGACAGCTATAGCGGAAGCCTGGTCTAAATTGGATGCAAAATTCGATCTAATGTATGGAAAAAGAGCATTCGTTCATTGGTAAGTTTTTCGATATTTGTGAGATACATCGTGGTAAATTAACCTCTCATTTTCTCACAATCAGGAAATATTTTCCTGATATCGTAAATAATATGGCAATATGGGATATTTGCCATATGCCTCTAGCTTAGTGTAGAATTTTCGAATGTATAGCCTTTTATTCATAGTGGAAGGAGAAGATGGTGTGCTCAACAGAAAGCTCAAACTCGTCTTGTTCTGCGCATGACGTCAGCTGGGATATAACTGTCATTGTTATTATTTGTTTTCGTGATTGATGTCTCGAACTTCAGATATTATATAAGTACTAAAATTGAATGAAATAATTTCGAAATCCCCACTTGTTTCGTTTCTGGTTATGGAAATTCCAACTAACATACAAAAGGCACAAATATTGAATTTTTCTGCTTTTCCAGGAATGGAGACCTAATGAAATAATGGGAGCTTGCTGCCGACAGAATATAAACTCAAATAATGGTACCTACCTTATATTCCTTATATCCTTATTCCAAAGTATTCACCTATCATATTATCATCACATTCATATTACAAAACGTATTTCTTCAAAACATTTCCATGCAAAATGTTTCCAAACAACTGCGAAAGTACGGTTCTTGACTTACACACCTCCAAAAAATCAAAAATATATGAAACAAGATGCCATTCCTACAGAACATCTTCCGTCGAATATCAAGTCAGAAATAATTGAAAATGAATTCAAAACTCTTAATTTCTCACAAAATATAAATTGCAGCAGAGATTTGAATAACAAAACGGCAAAAATTGATACTCCTGTTCTGTTGTCGATGTCGGAGCAGAAGCAACATCAACGTCGTTAACTGCTGAATTTTAATCTGTCAGAATCGACACAGTAGTGGATCATTCAGATGTGATTGGCAATGCATGATTCGTATGTATTTGCTATTTACTATTGCGAATTACCTCAAGATCACAATTTCCAAAATCAATGAAATAGTAAAATCGAAGGAATGGGTACCTGTTTATATAAATTGAATTGTTTCTAAACAGATGGAGAAACTCATAGAAATTTCAATAAACATGATTGAATTCATTGCGCACGCCCATTGCAACGGTATCTATCTGTGACTAGCCTCTGATATTGGTATCCCAGATGACGTCACGTAATATGCGCCTAGGCACACCATCTTCTCCTTCCACTATGCTTTTATCAATCAAACTGGCAACGTTGTACTGACTACAATGGAATACTGCTGGTTAGCTTCATGCGTCATCAGAATGGTAAAGTAGCCAAAACTTCTTCTATTTTTCCTGAGGTTGAATTTCATCGTACGAGGGAAAGACATATAAGTACGTAGGTACATGCAAATATCAGAGTTGACACTTATGTACTGTATATTGATTTCACAGAAAATTCACACTGCCATTGAGAATTGAATTCTTTTTTCGTTGTTAGATTGAGATGATTTTGCAAATAATTCTGGAGATTAGTGAGTCAGGTTAAAAAAATTATCCCGGTAATTTCAAAGATTTATCTCTTAGAAAATCAGCTGATGTGTTCGTGTTTCCTAGGTCTCCCTTTAATGATTTTTTTAGGCCTAAAAAGACTGAAGGAAGTGCACCTAACCATTGCTTTTCATCATGACATTTGAGATAAGTTTTTTATCTGTTTTCTGATCGGTTGTACGAATTCGAGATGTTGCAATTGCATCTATTAGTTCTTTACACAAAACAGATACAAATTGAGCTCCTCTATATGTCCCAGCAAACAATTCCGGTCGTTATTTCGTCGACCCAAAACCTGCTTGCCAGAAGTTGCCGACGCGGCAAAAGAGAGGCAAACGACGTCGGTCCGACGTCAATAGATCACAGTGGCCGACGGCCGGAGCGATGCCTATATGCCATTATACCTAAGAAAAAAAGAAGTGACCGGTCGCAGCGTTCGGGTAACGGTTCGAATGTTTGGATTAGCCGGGTTCTTACCAACTGAGCCATTCCATTTCTTGTTAGAGTTTTGACTACGGATGACTTATGAGTATACTAACTATGAATACTTATAATAATCATATCATAAAAGACAACAATTTCTCATTCTCCGATAAGCTATAGATGAGTTTCTGTGACTCACTTGTGTTTGTTTCGAATTTCGTGGCGAAATATGATGACTAGATCCATTAGGTAGGTTAATTCACCTATCAGCGAGCAACTATCGGATACCTACGTAACGATATGTAAAAGAACGAAATAATAATATACTAGGTGAATTGACGTTTATTATTTCTCCATCACCGTCGAAGTAGAGTTTGCAGAAGAAATATTCCATTATTTACAATCATATTACCTATACCTATATTATGTGCTAACTAATTGAGTATTTTCCAATTTTCCTCAACCACAAAATAGGTACAATATTTCGTTTCAAATTTTTTCATCACAAAGTGTAAATAGCCATCTTTTATCGAAATTACACAGGAGAGGGCTGGTGTGTAGGTAATATCATATTATGATGAAGTCTGGTAAAGCGCGGATGCCTTTTATTGGCCTGGTGACGGTTGGATTATCCTTGAACAAATATTCCATACAAAGGGCCGATGTAGTGAAATGACATCACGATTTAATACTACTGGTCCAGTGCTGTCTCAATTATGAACAAATGATTTACAATATACCATACAATGGGCCGGCGTTCGCCCGTTGCAGCTCAGCCATTGCTAGCACTCTGCCTACTGATCATGCATTGGGCCAGAAGACGACCAGAGATTAGATTTTTGCTGGTCAGTTATACCTTGCTTTGTATACCTTATCTAGATATCCGACCAGCAATGAAAGTATAAGCTACTGATGTAGGGGCTGTTAAATCGGACATTAGATAGGCTTCAGGCAAGCATATGTGAACCTGTATAGAAGCAAAACCTAGCATTGAAGACTAAGAGGTTGGGTAACTTCGTGAATCGTTTGTCAGCTCATGCAATTCAGACTGTTTCGACTTGCCAAGCTCCATTAGTTGCACTAGGCTAGCTAACAATCAATTCACGAATAAAATTCATATATCTATATCACGTCGGGGTCACTAATATGCGTATTTATTAATTAGTTGAATCATTTATTGATATTACATCTTATATTATTGAGAATTGATTATCAAAAGAAATCCCTACAAATCGTTATAGTAATAACTGATCACCTAGAAAGTGTTGTAGTCACTACACATACTTCTACAGTTCATAACCTCTATCTTCTATACTAGAATGAAGTTTTCCATCAATACAATGTTACTCTTCAATCTCTTCATGTTTAAAAAAGTCCCCATTTTCCACCAATTTGCTAACACGTTTCTTAGCGGCAGCCCAGGACATTATTCAGCAAGAAATTCACGAATTTTCTAGAAAACAATCACGATGGAAAAACGCAAATAACCTTTTTAAAACATGTTCGACACGAATGTGATTTTTGACATCTATAAATAATAAAGCTACTTGACTTTGTATGGACGGCGTCATGACCTTGAGTATTGACGCTTCAGGGATGTCTCAAATTGGTGGTGTGACGGATATTGACAAGTTTTCACCACATTGGTACGTCATATCGACGTTACCTTTAATCGTCACCAACAACGTCACTGTGACGTTATAAAGTCAACGATCTAAGTTCCCTCATAATTGACGTACAATCAAAGTCATGTTCATGTCGTTATTATCACATCCTATTATAAGACGTCTCATCAGTTACGTTACTATATGGTGGTGTGACGGCATCTTGATGCTCAGGACCCGGTATTTTGGTAATGAACGTCTGAAAATTTGAATTCTCTCTAGGTATGTTGGTGAAGGTATGGAAGAAGGAGAGTTTAGTGAGGCTAGAGAAGATCTTGCTGCACTGGAAAGAGATTATGAAGAAGTGGCTCTGGATACTGCAGGCGAAGGCGAAGGTGATGACGGGACTCTCGATTTTAATGAAGATTATTGAAATTTGTGTTTTGTTATATTTGTAATAGTGTTTTGATTGTATCTGTTACTCTGAAGTCTCGTACAATATTTTAACCCTGTTTTATAAATCCAAATATTATTCGTTCTATCTTTATAATAAATTATTATACTACCACAAGAATTTGATTTTCCCATCTTTAAAATTTTTAGTTACAACAATAAACTTCATAAACATGAAAAATAACGTATTTTTTCGTCACTATAATAACTATCCCTCAAATAGTATGTGACCCGTTCTAGGTGGAATCAGTGCAATATGAGGAAATTGAGGTCAAGGAGTGTAGATACTTCTAACATTACACCAATTTTTAATATTAGTAAAAATTTGTGAATTTTTTTGAATTGTCTTCAATATTATGTCTATGATATCAACAGTTCAACATTTAAAAAGTTGGTAGGTAGGTACCTAGAGCTTACTCAGGGAAAAACTAACACATTGCTGAGATCAATGGAAATGGAAAGTTTTCATACTTTTTATGGTTACTCTGTGCAGCATTCATAGCTGAAGTCTGATAAAAAAATCCTAATGTAACTCATTTATTGGTCTCCCCAGTGTTTCGTTTATATTCTCTGAAAGAGTTACTCGTTCGAACTCAGTTGTAGAATAGAGGGAATTTATTCAAACTGAGTAGTTATTCTTCAACAATACCAAGTTTGGTGTGCGTTTATCTCGAACGGCTACGGATATATAGCTGATTGATTTCTCAATTGATATTCCATGGGTATGACGGAAAATTTTCTGCTAGCGATGTTACCGGTTCCATCCGATCATTCCGATCTCTGCGCCCATCTCATTGAGCAAGTTGAAGAATCAAGAATAAACTGGTCAACTTTGATAACATCGTGGTGCACAATATAACCTGAATCAGGGCCTACTCTACTACTATAGTGTAGGCCCTGCCTGAATCCATAGTAGAATAACAAGCGACTTTCCTAACCAATTTGAAATCGGTTTTCACCGATGATATTAAGCCTAAATCTCATGACAAAATTTGTGGTGGCAATATGAAACTTCAGTGATTGCATTTTGAGGTTCTTCCTGGAGAGCCGATTTCATCTATGCATCACACTTGATGGGGTCTAGCGGAAATGATTACAGATATATAGGTGGTGTTATTCAAAAACAAGATGTTTCAATTTTAGTTTTTTTTGTCGAAACTATTCATTATTGGTGAAAACCTGTCGCTATCTAAACTTATGATTTGATATCTACTGACATTTAATTGTAACAAATACAGGGTGGTTCACGATTCAGCTAGAATTCTGATCCAATTAATTGTCAGTATATAGATGGTATATCAAATGTCAAGATAGGGACATGTGAGTCGTTTTGACCAATAATGAATAGTTTCGATGCAAGAAAATCCTAAACTCCAAGTCTCTGTTGTATTGATCGATTGAATCAATTCTTCAAGGAGAATCTGAAAATGTAATAATATACAGTGTATTCCTCTTAAAAAACTTGAAAACATCGTGATATTCCTCATATGCAACCCTATAACTGTTGTATTCGAATTTTTCCTATATTTATGAAAATTTGGCTAATATCGAAGGAGAAAAAACTATATTGACTCACCCTGTGGATTATATTTCCAAATTCATTTTCTATGTGTGAAGTAAGATTGCATTTTTTACTCTTGTTCACTCGAAAGATGACATTTATCCACATTCCTTCGCAAACTGGTATAATGAAGGGGATCCAGATTTTATATTGCACATTCTGTAGAAAATATTGAAAGAGCTCAATAAGTTTAGTATACGATTGACTTTGTTGGGACGTCTTCATGACCTCCGGTAATATACGTCAATATGACGTCATTAAACGTGACGTAATTTTTTTGTCTATCTGAAGTCGGGGACCAATAATGACCTGAAAAAGACACCATTAATGACGTCCTTTCACTAATCTGTGCTACCTGAGACTTTGGGATTCGATAATCACAAAAAAATGTGTCCCCCGCTAAATTAATATCGATATGTCCCAGCGGTGTTTCATTGATTACATCACAACGGAGAAAACTTGGGTGGAACGTTTTCGATGGGCCATCCCCCAGGCAACCAGATAACGTTTCAGTGACCTCTTTTTACGTCAGTTGAATGACCAAGGTGACCTTAGGAGTTGACGTCGTATGACGGGATAAATGACGTGAATAAGTCACAGCCCAATGACGTCATATTGTTCACGTTTATTGACGTCATTCACTCACTTATGTAGGTTCCAGGGCATGAAGGAATCAAAGGAAATGAGGCAGTTGATCGCCTTGCAAAAAATAAAGGTGCAGCATCTGCACTTTCTGGTCCTGAGCCTTTTTGTGGGATAAGCAAATGTCACCTAAAGGGAGAACTCAGGAAATGGGAAGAAATTGAAAAGTCCTTCTACTGGAGAGCAACTCCAGGTCAACGACAAGCGAAAAGGTTCATCAACCATTCGCAGAACCGAGCCAAAGAGCTACTAAGCCTCAGCAAACCAGAGCTAAAGCTTATCACAGGCTTCCTCACAGGACACGGCCCTCTGAGGTACCACCTCAAAAAGATGGGCCTGGCAGAGACTGACACTTGCCGCTTTCGTAACAATGCGACCGAAACCGCGGAACACGACATACTTTGCTCATGTGAAGTATTAGTCCGCCAAAGGCTGAACCACCTAGAGCAGGTCTATCTCACCCCTGCTGAAGTGGAAAAGTCAACCGTCAGGAAAATCGTAGGCTTCATCAGAAGTCTAGAGTTAGAAGACCAAAACTAGATAGGGGTAATCACAATGGATCTTCTAGGCCGCAGTGATAGAGAGGTCTCCCAGCCTATACGACCCATCTACAATCTACACTCACCAAACTGTGACGTCGGACTGACGTCGAAATGATGTCAAAATTACGTTCAAATTTGGTGATGATACGTAAAAAAGTTTCCTCAAACATGGTGTGATAAACACCACTGACCTTTGATGACATATATAATATTGATTATGCATTGTTGAGTCTGCTTGGTGGTCCCTCCGGTGTCATGTACATTCAATCGTCTATTCAGCAGCGCTATCCTCCAGTACGCATCTCCATCAGAATGAAATCAGTTACTCGTATTTGTATCAAAAATTAGATAGTTTCCGTCGGCGAGTTGTAAGCAAACCATAGCAATAAATAGCACCAAATTGGTACGTCACACCGACTTGATTTTTAGACGTCATATATACGTCACTGCCACGTCATAAAAGTGACGGTTTCTATAGATACAACATTACCATTTATATGTATACATATTATATAGCATAATTGGTTTCCGAGATATACAGAGTTTCGAAAAAGTTTTTCTACTTTTTGAGTATATTTAAGTCCAATAAAACTTGCTTGATGATTTGGTTCAATGAGTAATATTTCTATTAACGTCAGAAGCATATATATATATATAAAATTACCAAGGCATACATATGTTTCTATATATGTGTGTGAAATTGAGGAAAAACGAGGTTTTCTGAAAACTTTTCGACACTAAACATGCCCATCCTGTATATATAGGTACGTCACAAACCTAACGATTTCATATGGTAATGTAAGTATAACATGGCTTTGAGACGGTCTGGGAAAAATGGAGGTCGACAGGACGTCCCTGCAACGTTATGAAACTGACGTCTTATTTTACCCAATTGAGTGACGTTCACTCGACGTCGAGATGATGACGTGATTATCACGTCATAGAAAGTAAGTCATAGTGACGTCATAAATTGGTGTGTGACGTCTCTGACGGAGAATCACCAATTAGGAACGTCACAGTCACGTGATCATTCGTCATCTGGTTGCCTGGGCCAGTATGAACAGCTGAAAAAAAACAAATATTTCTATGAATTCTTTTCTTTATTGATTTTTGCTTTGTTCATATTAACTACAGCATCAATATCATCCCTGGAGATTACATTGAAATCAATGATTGACAGTGCTGGCTCGGGTAAAACGACATACGTAGTTGGGGGTGGAGAACTGCTTCTGAAGAATTTCTGGGGATTCCCTCTGGCAGTCGATTTCGCTGTGTTCTGGTCGTTAACCCTCTGAGGGCTTGGATTTCTGTAACTATAAGAATAGTCCTCAAATTCGGTTTCGCTGTCGAAGATGTTGAGATTCTGGAAATGCAGCTGAGCAAGAGTTCTGCTCGTCAAAGGCCGCTGGTAGCGGTTTCGGTTCCTCCTCCTTATTTGGTTGGTCCTTGGCCTCCGTTTCTTATTGGTAATCTCGGAACCAATTTCAATCGGGATCGCTCCGGTGTTTTGGTAGTATTCTAGGAAGGTTCGAACCAAATTTCGACCGCATCTCATATCTTCGATAATTAAAGAAATTGCCTCTCTACTACAAGATCGGTATAAAACATTATAGAAAAAAAAATATTATTTATATATACATGATGGCATTGAAATAAGTGCAAATACTTCTAACACTGATAAATTGACATTCATCATACAGGGCGTGGAAAGAAATTCTGAATCGAGACTCTATCACGAATCTGCGATTAGAGGTCTATAAAAATCACAAGTTTCCATCGTTCAAGTTTGAACCCCCTGATTGGGTATGAAAGTGTTGAAAAGGAATATTCTCACAATGTTCGACGTGGCAAATAGCCAGGAAAGTAGTTGTTTTCTGTTGAATATTCAGAATGATAAGTGCATATACATATTTTTGTCTGAAGGAGAATGCAAATTCTCAATTTCAGAAGTTTTTATATTTTATTTTCAAACTCTTATCGTGTGTGTTCAATAGATATAATTCAATGTTCGTCGTGGCATATAGCCAGGAAAGTAGTTGTTTTCTATTGAATAAACTGAAAAAGAGTAGATATTCTCATCACATAGAGAATTCGAATTCTCAATGTATTGCTTCATATAAATATATATCCATTTTTGTATGTCCATAACTTATCTGAGAATATTCCTTTTCAACAGTAAAGATATTGTTTACATTTCTAGACATTGTTGTTATAGGCGAGTGGAAATTGTGTATTGTGTAAGTAAAATGTATTACAAGTACGTGAAGAAGCTCGAGGAACATTGAACATGATTTGTGATATGATAGTAGCGGAATCTATTTGATTGTCTATAATGTTGTGAATGAAGCATAAGTCTCTTATTGCACGATGTTTTTTAAGTGTTACCAAATTGAACTCACTAAGGAGTAGATCATAGTTATAGCCTCTGACAGGATAATTACCATGTCTTTTATAAAATGCAAATTTAAAAAATTTCTGCTGAACATTCTCAATAGCTGAAATATATTTACCATAGGACGGATTCCAAACAGCACAACAATAATTATTAAGCTGGTTTTGATAATCTTGGTCTTCGATCAAAATGCGTCTAGAAATTTGAATTATTCAATTCAAATATCCAACAGCTTATATGCATAGGTATAATAGGTATTTCGTATTTCTCAGTCTTCAAAGAGACTCCCGACAGGCCATAATAAAAAGATTCAAAAGGGGCGGAACTGACAACAACGCATTATCAAAATATTTTTAAAAAGGTCAAATTCAAACCAAATAACGTTTGTATTAAATTTGTTTCTATCTTCAATAGGAGAACTGTGACCTTACAACATACACCTATTTGTTGTAAACTTTAAAACCGCAATACTGAATTTGAAAAATGAATTTCGGATTTTGAGTAAACAAGTATTAGAAACCTACCATATGACAAATAAATAACTGAAATAAAATGCCATTACATTTTCCATCAGATTTTTCTTAATATTTAGTAGATTAAAGTTCTTTATTTTTATTTCAAGACCGAGACCAAGACTCTTGGGAGAGAGCCTTGGTCTTGGTCTTGGTCTTGGTCTTGGTCTTGGTCTTGGTCTTGGTCTTGGTCTTGGTCTTGGTCTTGGTCTTGGTCTTGGTCTTGGTCTTGGTCTTGGTCTTGGTCTTGGTCTTGGTCTTGGTCTTGGTCTTGGTCTTGGTCTTGGTCTTGGTCTTGGTCTTGGTCTTGGTCTTGGTCTTGGTCTTGGTCTTGGTCTTGGTCTTGGTCTTGGTCTTGGTCTTGGTCTTGGTCTTGGTCTTGGTCTTGGTCTTGGTCTTGGTCTTGGTCTTGGTCTTGGTCTTGGTCTTGGTATTGGTCTTGGTCTGGGTCTTGGGAAGATTGATTAAGCCTTGGTCTTGGTCTTGCTATTGTATCAAGACCATGCAAGACGAGATCAAGACTGGACTTTTGGTCTCGCGAAGCCCTATTCACTAGCAATATCAGTCAGACGAACTCGACATGCCAAGACAGCACATCCTTCCAACCCCAAAATATGTCGAACGACCCTTTAACAAAACTCGTTTTTCCATAGAACGGCAAAGCTCTGGAATGCATCGCCTAATGAGGAAGTATTCCCGAGAACTTATTACCTACAAAAGTTCAAAAAAAAATCAATACCTAGCTGCCTCCTCTTCCTATCCTCCCTAGGTACGCACAATGTTCTTCTAACATTGGAACATTATAGGGATTCCCTTTCGTGGGCTTAAAGCGATTAATAAGGGCAATTGACCGCGAGGTCCTTCAGCCTCTGATATTATATTTTTCCATCAAAAAGTATTACTGATATGAGGATATCGAGCATAGATATGGTGAACCAACAGTTACATCAGGGATATTGGGTTAGGATCTTCTAGAAAATACAGGCTCGAGTTTAGATGTCGTCCTTGAATTCCAACTAGGTTGTTGGTTCCTCAGGTGTAATTTAAGCTAGATTGACCTGGAAATTCTGGGAGCGAACGCAGTATGGAGTATCGGAAGTATACTGTCATCTCCAAAGCTGTGGATCAGTCAGGTGGTTTACTCCCAACAGTACATTGAGATAGAGTAGGAACAATGTGGGTACCAGAATGGATCCTTGTGGCACTTTTCGGCAATTTTCGTAATAAGAAAAAAAAATTGCAACAATACATGCCACTAAAGATGAACTGAATAACAATAAACGTTAAAAATATCGTGAGCCTACATAATATTTCAGCCTTTGGTGTCCTCCATTTAAAGATAGTTCATAATCAAAATCTGCTCCATTTAGAATGTTTCGATTTTTTCCAATTGTGATTTGTATATATTCATTTTTGCTTCGTTTGACTGTTAAAATCTGTTTTTGTCTGAATCTTCTAATGTACGTCAAGCTCTCAGGATTCATCAAGCTACATTCAGTGTGTAGTATGACTAGTATGTAAACTTTGTGGAGAATTCAACTTTGAAACAATTTGCATCAACCAAACCTAATCCGATTAGAGGACGCGCGTACATTTTTTTGTGAGAAAGGCAATAAAAATATACGATTTTGGAAATCCTTTGATCGATACCATTTGCAGAAGGGTATACAAAACTTGCAACTTCATTTTTTCGACTTTGGACCGTAAAAATTTGGACAGTTTTGAAAAAGGATACAACTATCTTCGGTATAGGGAACAGTGATTTCAGTTCCTTTGAGTTTGTAGCCAAAAATCGACACCTCGAAGGAATAGCAGTTGACTCTATCGCTTAAAATTGAACAGAGGTACCTTCTTGACGTACCAATTTTATTTATGTCGGAATTGAACATGGTATTCTCTGGAATGTAGTCATCGGATGTACTGGCCAGAAGTTTGGGGAACAGAATGTGTCTTTCGTACCTAAAAATATGAATCTCTAGGAAATCATAACAAAAATATCTGCGTTCTGTTAGGGTGACCATATCAAAAAAAGTTCTTATACAGGGTGTCCCGAGATGAAAGCGACAAACCTTATCGCCAATATCATTGCAAAATGTCATGATATACATAAATGTCCAGAACCGCTTAGCTACTGATATACAGAATCAGTACAACAATCAGTACACAATACATATGTGGATTATTTTGCCAATCTGCAATATCAAATACAGGCAATAGCCTGTGCGTGAGGTGTATGATTTATCCAATTTGTTTTGGTTATAGAAACAGTTTAAGATGAGCTTATAATATCGTTACATATAATCAATTATCAAATAGATAATAAATGAATGATAAGATGGAATAATGACTTATGATAATATAAACATAAATAATAGAACAAGTACTAAAAATAATAATTACAATAATACTAATAACAACAACAAACTCAGTAATGATACATTTGCATGTGTATATATGGTACAAAATCGAAATGTTATTATTTATTTCCTTCATTAATCATGCATACATATAATTGCATATCTAACATTTTGACGAGTTCATTTCTGGGGGATGTTGCAACAAATTTGTTAAATTTTTTCTTGAATTGATATATATTTTCAAGTTCTCTTAGTTCCTTGGGTAGGATTTGATACATTCTAGGTGCTAAGTAAGCAAAAGTACGTTGGCCAACTGTTTTTGAGAAAAATGGTGTTTTATAATGCGAGTTATGTTTCCTTGTGTTATAGTCATGTGTGATAGTTTGAAGTTCTGTTTTATTTTTGAATTGACCATAGAATTATTTTGAGGATTTTTTTCTGTATGGTACTAATTTTTTTCAAGTGTATATACATTGCACCACCCCATCCTCTGATGCCATAGTTCAATCGAGAGCCAAATAATGAATGCCAGAAGTCTTCAGTAATACAGTAATGTTCGAAAATAATTTGAACAAAGTTTGTATCATTGTTTGCAAGTTAATGGAGGTCATTTTAAACTATAAATTGAATGAAACTTCAATTTCACGTCAGCTTTTTCAATTGTAGACTTTTTTATTTCTGGTGAATTGATCGACACAACAAAAAATGAGGGATTGTAAATGGAAAGCTTTCAATTGATCGGCAATTTCGATTAGAAATTATAACGAGAATGTCGGTTTTTCAATTATTGTCAAGTATTGATTTTATTTAATAACTGTGTCAAGTTACAACCGATTTCCATATCGATGCACCAGAATAGAAAGAATTTTAAAATGATGTGTTGGAGGGTATTTCCGTTTTTGGATGTATGACAAATTGATATTCATGATACAGGACGTGGCACGAAATTCTGAATTGAGATGAAAATCTGAAAATTGTGTATATCATGGAGAATGGCTGAAAGATAACTGGACTTCAGGTTACTGAGGAGGGTTTGAAATCCGAAATGAGTTGATTCGAATTAAGTCATACAATCTGTTTGTGAGAGACATAATTCCTATATCACTGATACGAATGATTTACTTCTCATATACATTTCAATTTTCATTTCAATACTGAACATATTGGTACGTTATATTTTTATATCATAATACATCATATTATTTATCAGATTTGAGAGATTGTCAATTCTCAATTTCAGAGGATTTTAATTTTCTTGCTCCCTTTTTGGATCTTCAACAGCAACAGATATAATTCAATGTTCGACGTGGCAAATAGTCAGGAAAGTAGTTGTTTTCTGTTAAATATTGAGAATGATGTTATGTGCAAATACATATTTTTATGTGAAGGAGAACTTTAGAAGATTTAGTTTTCAAATTCTTATCGTGTGTGTTCAATAGATATAATTCAAAATGTTCTATACGTGGCATATAGCCAGGAAAGTAGTTCTTTTCTGTTGAATAAACCGAGAAGGAATTGATATTTTTATGACATAGGGAATGCGAATACTCAATGCGTTTCTTTATATGTATATCAATTATTTCATTTTTTATATTCATAATTTACCTGAGAATAATACTTTTCAATAGGGTATTTCCATTTTAAATTTCAAATTTGGGGTTGCTAGGGGTTAGGGGGATGAACACATCAAGTTGGTTCAACTGTAAAAAACACTCTCCCCAAATATAAAAAAAAATCGACGGGTCCTGGCAATTTCTGGTAGATGATTCGCTTTCGCTTCTAGTTATAAGGGAGGGGGGTCAAGTTTTCGTGGGAAGACCCGTATTGGCGTATTGGCCGTATATTATAATTATTTGTTATTTGTCATATCCAACCTGTTCGCTTGGCACGGCAGTAGGTATATAGTTATAGTTACTCTATAATGTCAATACACTATTCACTTCATCTGGTTATGTTAACGTTTTCAATATTGCTATTGAAATAGGTGGTTAGAGCAGGTAGGTACTTACTTACGTAACTTATTATATCTGCTGAGCCTCCATTAGTTTATTGGTATATTATTATTAAATAGCTTCTATATACGTATGATGCAAATGTATGGAATAAATTCATTATTTCAGAAATGGGCGACATTTTGAAAAATTCCAAAAACACGTGAGGTTTCATTTTTGAAGCCTCATCTCATGATATTCATATGAGAGATGTTACGTCACCGGTGTTGGAGCAATGACGTAATGAACGATTTTTTCAAATGAAAACAGGGGTCATGTGACACCTCTTTGGAAAGGTCTACTGATCGTCTATTCAACAGTCAACATTTTGCATAAGGAAATTGAAATTAAAATGGATTATCATTTGATTAACTGAATCTTGCAGAGGTCTGCTACTGAGAATTGAACAACGAAGGGTCGTCTATTTAAAAAAATACATCAATTAGTTCTGAAGTCTAGTTTTTGGATTTTTTTCGGAAGTCGTTTTGTTTTGAAATGAATTTATTCCATACATTTGCATCATACTGTATATATTGTGAACAAACCTGTAAACATCTTCGTATGTGTTTCCATAAACAAAACATCCTTTCAAACTCGAATGAGCATGTATATCAACTACAAAATCCAACTGAAATTCCTGGAATTAATGAAGTAAAATTATATTATTATTATTATTATTACATTATATTATAACTATATAACAAAGGGGGTTGTATTTTTTTAAATACACTACTCGAATTCATGCCTATCTATTTTAGACTGGTCGTTATTCCATGTATTTATGGTATTTGATACGCTCATTAATTATTTGAAATCATCTCAAATATTTTTTCAATAATGAAAATAATCACCTTCCTAAAATGGAATTCACTTTCACAGTATAGGAGTGTACTGAGACTGTGACCGAGATACACACAATAGATGAGTCATATCGTATATTAGTTATTTATTATACCAGGGAAAAAAGTAGTAGATTTTAGTATTTTTTTAGTGACAGGAAAAAGGACGAATCAATATTAAGAAGATATTATATTATCTTCTTTTCTTTCTTCCATTCATTCTTCTGAACTCTGAAGTAATCAAATATCTATCAGTCTAATTCTGTGATTTGATTTTGATAAATTGCGACTTTCTTTCTCCTAGACGGTGTTATTGGTTTATTTTTCGGAACTATAGCACAACAAAAGCCATCAACATTGCAAATATATGATATATATCCGGAAAAAAATTACTCCCACGGAAAAAAGTAATTTATAACCTGTCAACAGAGATGTTTCGAACTTTCTTCCCGTCACAGAAATATAATAATTGTATTGGATTGATAGTGGTATATGTTGTCCCTTGTTTATCATCTCATGAAATATAGATATCCTGATCCAAATTTTTTGGGATTTTCTCTCCTCGTTTCTATAAAATAAAAATATGAATATTATTTCAATATACGTGTAGTAAGGACAAATCAGATGATTTGCCCCAAAATGTCACTGCGTTTAAAGAATTTTCCTATCAGAGAGCCTAAAAGAAAAATTCACTAGCTTGTCAGTGACAATTTGTATTGAAAAAATTTTGGAGAAGAGGAATAAAGGTATATAGAAAAAATATCAAATTTTCACTTATCTTTGGACGTTTCGGGACCGGTTCTGCTCCCGTTTTCAACATGAAAAGAGATTATTTCAAAGCGAAGTCGTATAATGTGTCTTGAAGCTTTTCAGTTTCCAATGAAAATGAATGTACCACCTCCTCGATTAACCTACAGACAGTATTTAGATATCCTGAATTTGAATAATTATTTAGGAAATCTACAGAGCTCTGAGGAGAAAACGGTATGCGACTGTGAACTAGTTTTCGTTAGGGCTTCAAATTAATGAAATACAAATTTTTACTGGAACCGGCAGTCCATCTGGATTTTCTGAAGAAGAACCTTAGAGGAGCTTTCAACAATTTCAAATTATCTAGACTCTAAAACACTCCAATATTGTATACACACCTCGTGTGTCCCGTATAAAATTTAGGTATCTACTAGGTACCCAATAAACAGTTCCCTGCTTGAGCGATTGAATCTCGGTCACAGGGTATAATTGCTGATAATGCTTAGAAATATAATATTGATTTCAACCAAATATGACGGATGACCAAATTCCAAATCAGGCGATTAATTATCAGAAATTCATTTGAGCTGGGCCTATTAATGTCTACATGTTAATGCCGTTTGATGAAATAAAGTGTAAATTGTAATGATTTCAATTATCAAATTCATGGCGGCCGCACAATTTTTCTTCATGTCATTATCAGAATTGAAAATAAAATATTATTATACTCTGCTCTGACTGCACAATTCAAAAAAATATCTGATTTGATAGTACCTAGTCGATACCTATACCAGATGACAATATATTTTTTACTTTCAAGAGTTCAAAGGGATGGCAGGGTTAGTTGATAATTGATTCTAAAATGTTTCGATTATTCATTCCCCTACCAAGGCTTCAACGTTTAATGTCGAAATGGAACACTGATTATTTCGAAATTCATGGATTCCGGAAATAAAGTAAAACTGTGATAAAGCAACTATTCATCTTGAATTTGTGAAAAAAAAATCAGTTTCAGATTATCATTTCTTTAGTTATTCTTACTTTATTTTTGTCTATTGTTGCCAACATATCTGTCACAGCTTTTATTGTAGGATGACACCAAGGATTAGCTATGTGCCAAGATCTGTTCAGATCCGTTCCCATCACGGTACTCCTGTAGTTCCCCAGAAACACCCCATCTGGGTTCAACATGGGAATCACTTTGAATATCACGTGTTGTCTGAGGATAGAAGCCACTGAGTTAGAGCTAACAAGTAGTTCCAACAGTCCTGCAAATATGGGAGGAGTCAGTTCTTACCGGTTTTTACAGATTGAAAGCAGTCCCAAAAAATATTCTCTCACCGATAGGTACTTGATTCGCCGAATGAAAAGTAATTAATTGAAATACTAAGTAGAAAACTCATCACGAACATCAGAACAATATGTAGTTGTTACGTATTTATGCCAAAATGTTGCCATCTTCAGTATATCTGAGAAGCAGTGCAAGAGAACTGAATAGAATGTTAAAAATCTCAGATTGGATACTTATAAATTTGCCTGATTATAATAGGTTATTACGGAAACGTTGAAGGTCTATTGAAGAACGGTATTTTTTAGTCGACTGTTGACTCGGCCACTCGCGCAATGGGCGAGTGGACTGATATTACTGATAATGAATTATTGGCATTCCATCACTTCTCTGTGTCGTTAGGAACCTGAATTAATTTTTCCAACATTTCTCGCGCTTTTTTTTATGTGAATAATAAGTCTATGCGCTGCTCAAAATCATTGAATTTCAGAGCTCATTTCAAACATAACGTCATATAGCCGCCATTAGGCGATACGTCGAATAAATAGTGACGTCAGTTTTGATGCTGTTTCGTTATTCGTCAGATAATCTTCCATTTCTACTCATGAATCAAGGTTGTCAAGTCCCCAATTATAATCGAGTTATCAAAAAACTGTTTGTCCTGTCGTTGAATAAAACATAATAGGAGAAACTCATGACATTTGAGTTCATTCTTGACTTTTTCGAGCAACCAGCATGTCCAAATATTTCTGTTTCTCCATAACAAAATATCATGTGAATGTTGGAGACTTGGCAACATTTTGCTGAATGCTGAGAACTGACAAGATCTTCTTCTTCTTCTTCTTCGAAGCACTGGTGGGCGGGTGAACCTCCTGCACGTGGGCCTCCTTATTCGGGCCCATTGTGCGCCCACATGTTACGACATTCAGCTGGGTATGCCGACTGCCTTGGAGAAGTTCAGCAGCTTCCTCAGCTGAATCTCTTTTACGTCCTCTGGCCTCAAAATTATGTGGCCAAGGACAGCCCTCCTCTGATGCGTCAGTGCTGGACATGCACTCAGTGAGGACATGTGATGACGTTTCGTCATCTTCCAGGCACCATCTGCAAAGGGGGTCATCCTTGATCCCAATAAGCTCTAGGTGCCTATTGAGGTGGTTGTGCCCCGTTAGGAGCCCCACTACCATTTTAAGGTTTCGCCTGTTTAGGAATAAAACCTCTTTTGCGAGCCTCTTCGAAGGTTCCTTTATGTGGAGCTTCGATTGTCTCATTCCTGGTGTGTCCTGCCATATTTTGAGGAATTGCTTTTGTAGCTGTTCCTCTATAGAGGACATTGCCAGGCTATTTGGTATTCCCAAGATTGGTTCCGGTCCGACCGAGGTCCGTCCTTTTCGGACGGACTTTTCTTGATTTTGCCAGGTTTTCCAAGGCTTTTCTGCACTCGCGGACACCAATTTGGATGTGATCCTATTGGATTGCAAAGCCAGTATTGCAGCTTTGCTGTCCGAGCATATAGTGATTGGTCTACGACCTCTCATAATTAGGTTTTCTTGGACGCAGGTGAGTATTGCAAGTACTTCTGCCTGGAACACTGAGGCATATTCGCCCAAAGGAACTGAAATTTCTTTTCCTGTTTCTTCATTGTATACCCCTGCACCTGAACTGCCCACAAATCTTGAGCCATCCGTGTACCAGATTGACTCATTAGGAGGAGGCACGCCAGGTGTTGTGTCATTCCATTCTTCCCTCGTAGGGATAGCAGTGTTTAGGGCTTTGTTGAAGTTCAAAATTGGCAAGGTATTATCCCTTCTCATCATGAGGATGGGACAGTTTTCCTTTGCCTTATTCCATATGAGGGAGTGTCCATGATCTGCTTCTGTTCCGACCCACTGGTTTGCACCGTTGAGTCGGTAAGCAGTTCTCATGGCTTCGTATTGTATGAACAGGTGTAGAGGCGGCAGACCTAACAGAACTTCAAGAGCCCTGACAAGATCACGCCCACAAGTCGTGCGCTGGGTTGTCACGTTCACCGATTCAAATGTCCTCCAGTGTGAATTAATATGATTATTATTTACACAAATTTATTATAAGCAATAAGCCACAAATCATATGAGAACATTGTGAGACAATTGCATTTTTATTGCTAATTAGGCAATAAAAATTGAGAATTTATGAATTATTGAATAGATGATATTTCTGAAGTTCCCAATCGTATTGCAACATATGACAACTGTGCTATGGTCATACTTACGAAATCGTGGCGTGTCTTTACTGGCGGTAAATGTCTAGCCGTTTGAAAATTACTGTGGCATTATTGATGATATTAACACCTAAAAATCGACCTAAAGATCAAAAAATATATGAAATTGTAAGGTATTTCTGTAATGATTCTATTTAAGAAATAACAAAAAATGTCCACTCGCCTATTGTGAGTATGGTTTATCGCGACTAACAGTCGACTTTAATTGGACTAACAATACCGCGACAGCGACGCTAGTAATCCCGCCTGAGAAAATTATTTTCGATCATACAGGGTGTTCCAGATACATATTGTTACGATTTTACTCTGGGTCCGTAATAACTTAACACTCGGTATAACACTTAAAACGATTTATTCTGAACACTACTATACAATAATTACAATACTCGTACTAAACACTTCCGATTCACAACACTTCTTCGATCGTTATTATAACGCTTCCAAATAAAGACTTTTTTTCCTGTCCCTAACAACATCTATTTATATTACCTAATAAAACGTCTAGATTCCACTCGAAATATCGTGAACAGGTCGATAATCTTCTCGAGTCATCTCAATAGCCGTCGAATCACCTAATTACTTATTCCAAGAAATATGACTTGTTTACATCCCACCGCAGGTAGCTGGGATTGATCGCCAGGGTCGTAACATTTACCCCCTTCTTCAAATTTGATCGTCCCGATCAAAAACAGAACTCTCCTCACCATGGTAGCGCTTCAGTCTTTCAAGATGAACGACTTTCATCTTTGTCCTAGGGCTGCGTTGGATTCTGTAGACCACATCGTTGATCCTTTTCAACACCGTATACGGTCCTTCCCAAGATGGTGTTAATTTGGGTGATACGCCTTTCTTCCGTCGAGGATTATACAGCCAAACTCGATCTCCTTCGAAGAATCCCTCTGAATTGGCTTTGAGATCGTACCGTGCCTTCATTTTGTCACTTGCTAATTTCAATCTCTTCCGAGCAGTCTCATGAGTTTTCATCAAGGCATTCCGGAGCTCATCTGCGTAGTCTTGTACTTCCTTTTCTTCAACACTTGGTGAACCGAACACCAAGTCACAAGGTAAGCGGAGTTCTCTTCCAAAGACTATACTAGCTGGAGTTAGCTTCGTTGAATCATGGACAGCTGCTCTATACGCCATCAGGAATAAGGGAAGATGCCTGTCCCAGTCCCTCTGATGCTCTTCGACTACTTTGGAAAGATGTTCTTCCATAGTTCGGTTGAATCTTTCGACCATGCCATCGGATTGTGGATGTAGTGGAGTTGTTCTCGTCTTACTGATTCCCATTAGATCACAGACCTTTTTGAATAAGTTCGACTCAAAATTTCTCCCTTGATCAGAATGTAATTCCATTGGTACTCCGAACCGTGAAAACATGTTGTCGACCAATATCCTGGCAACTGTGGAGGCTTCTTGGTTTGGCATGCCGTATGCTTCTACCCACTTACTGAAGTAGTCCATAGCAACCAAGATGTATTTATTTCCATCATCGGTCAAAGGGAATGGTCCGGCTACATCGATGGCGATCCTTTCAAACGGAGCACCCACATTGTATTGTTTCATTCCAGCTCTTGATCTCGTTCTGGGACCTTTACTGGCTTCGCATACAGGACATCTTCTACACCAACTTTCCACGTCGTCACGACATTGAACCCAGTAAAATCTTTCTCGAATTTTACTCAGTGTCTTGTTAACTCCAAAATGTCCACCAGATTTTCCGCCATGGACTTCTTCCAGAACTTCATTAACTCTGATGTGGGGCACAACCAGCTGAGAAATTGTTGATCTACCATCAGCTGATTCCCAAACTCGCTTCAATAATCCATTCTCCACAACTAGTGAGTCCCATTGTGCCCACATCGCCTTGAAAGCAGGCCCTCTATCCGAGATATCCTTCCATGTCGGTCTTTCTGTTCCTCTTTCTTTCCAACGTAGAAAATCGGCGATATTCGGATCGTTCTCCTGATCTCGTCTCATGTGTGCTGCTGTCCACTTATCATCGGTCACAAGTCTGGTTTTTCTAACATCAGCGGTTCCTTCTCGATGTTCAATGCGCAGACAATGCTTACAGGTTTCCGAACAAGGTCTTCTGGACATGGCATCTGCATTCTGGTGTAGTTTTCCTGGGCGATGCTTAATCTTGAAGTGATACTGGTTCAGCTTTTCCAGCCATCTTGCTATTTGACCTTCAGGATTCTTCATCTCCATCAGCCACCTCAAAGCTGCATGATCCGTCCTAATGAGAAATTCTCTCCCGTATAAGTATTTGTGAAAATGGTCAACAGCCTTAACAATTGCCAGCAGTTCTTTCCTGGTGACACAATAATTCCTTTCTGGTTTGGCCATCACTTTGCTGTAGTATTCTATAACTTTTTCTTGACCATCCTGTACTTGTGATAGCACGGCTCCAATTCCGATGTTACTCGCGTCTGTGTCCAAAATAAACAAGCCTCTCTCTTGTGGGAACCCCAAAATAGGACTCGAACAGAGGCCAGCCTTCAATTTCTTGAAGGATTTCTCACACAGACCAGTTGAAGTTGACTCGATCTTCTGTCAATCTATGGAGTGGTGCCGCAATATCAGCAAATCCTTCCACAAAACGACGGTAGTAAGTGCACAATCCCAAGAAACTTCTAACTTCATGTTTGTCCTTCGGTCTTGGCCAGTCTCGAATGGCTTGAATCTTTGTCTCGTCAGTTTGTATTCCTTCTGACGTTACC